TACTTTACAAAAGTGCTTTAAAATAACTAAGGAACAAGCCAGACATATAATAAAACAATGTCAAAATTGTGTGACCTTTTTACCACAAGTTAATCTTGGAGTCAATCCTAGAGGACTGATACCTAACCATATTTGGCAGATGGACGTCACACACTTGCCAGAATTTGGAAAATTATAATATTTGCATGTTGATACTTCTTCTGGATTTTTGATGGGCTCCCTTCATGCTGGAGAAAAAACTAAAGATATTATAGCTCATTGCTTACAAAATTTTGCCACTGTGGGCGTTCCAAAACAGTTAAAAACAGATAATGGTTCTGGCTATACTTCTACCTCTTTTAAACAATTTTGCTCATCATTTGGTATTACTCATATAACAGGAATCCCATACAATCCACAGGGACAAGGCATAGTTGAAAGGGCTCATCAAACTATTAAAATGTACTTATTAAAACAAAAAGAGGGAATTGGAAAGGGGTATATATCCCCCAAAGATAAACTTAAAATAACACTTTTTACTCTAAACTTTTTAAATTTGGATTCATCAGGACTTAGTGCTGCGGAAAGACATATGTGTCCAAAAAATGTACATAAGCCTAAAGTACTTTGGAAGGATATTCTAACAGGACAATGGAAAGGTCCTGACCCAGTGATTGTCTGGAGTCGGGGATCTGTTTGTGTGTTTCCACAGGGAGAACAGCAACTGATTTGGATTCCAGAGAGACTAACCAAAGCGATTTCTATAGACCAAACAGAAGATGATTTGACTCAAATCCATAACAGCTGATATCCAGAGCTCCAGCTTGGCTATTCTTACATCTGCGACAGTGATTAACCAGGATGCTCTTTTCAATATCTATTTTATTATTGCTTTTTCCCACATCATAAAGTTCTAATTTATTTTTTGAGCTCATTCAGACCTAAGTTAATGTTTTTCTGATCAGTTTTATTTTTTGACTGTGGAGTTTTTAAACATTGCAATGGAGATTTCACCTGTGTAAAGCTACAAGGCCTTTACTATTGTCTTATGTGTTGTACGTTTGTGTGCACACTTCTCTTTTGTGTTGTATGTCTGTATGTGCGTTTGTCCATATATCATATATGAGGAGCACTCATGAAAAAATGGATCCGAATTTTTTTTTATTCACGTGATTTTAATGGCTTAATTTAAATTGAGTAAACAGCTTTTGAGAATTGTTTTAAAATGTGTACAAATAAGGAGGTTAACAGATCTGTTTGTTTACTTTCACCTTTCCTTTTCATTATATTTAATAATTCTGTTCAAAATAATGTAAATTGTTCAGAAAATTGTTTTCTTAGTACCTGTTGGAATGTTACGTAATTTTTTAGCATCATTGTCAAAATTCCTATCTTCATCCCAGTGCCGGTGAAGATAAAGATGAAACCAAACTACAGCTTCTTCGATAGTTATCACAACAAACTGTATAAACTGATGCATCAATGAATAATAACTCAACAAGTAATGCTCAATCAAGGAGTCGATTTACTTTGGGAGGAAATGGACATATTGATAGACCCCTCTGCTTTGAACTGCTTGCAGAACTTGCCTGGACTATGTATCACTTGTATGCATTGTGAACTATCTGTTGGTGCAGCAAATTGTGGTAGTGCTGGCGTATCTTTGCTGATGGTGTCACCGGTGATACAGTTTTTCAAAGGAGCCCTCAATTGGCTTAGTGTCATGGCATTTTGCATCCTCCTCCCTTCTACTAGTGATGGTCTAAAATTTGGGGGCCAACAGAGGTGAGGCAAAGAACCTCACCCCCCCACTGGCACCAAGGCCAAATTTGGGGGCCAACAGAGGTGAGGCAAGAACCTCACCCCCCCACTGGTGCATAGGCCTATCCACAAGTATGGCTGTATGCTGGACCGGTAGTCAGTGACGGGTATGATCCAATTGCAGTGGTACCAACCTAAGACAGGAGGCTGACGCCTAGAGGTCAGCTCATCCGATGACGGGTAAGGACCATATGTTGAATTGGACAACCTACCAGGCACGGTCCCTAAGCCACATGCTTGTTGCTTAATTAAACAGAAGGGGGGAGATGCTGAGAGCCATAGCCAAGTAGGAAAGACGCATGGCATTTTTGGTTGAAAGGTGACGCCAGCCAGCCATTGAGATGATATGATTATGTTAACATCTGCATTCAAGTGGATATTAGACCCCTGCTGTCCACCTTGGCCTGCTACTTTGGAGCTCCCAAAGAGTTCCAAAGAGTTGGTTGGGAAAGTGCAGTAGGAGGGAATTCTGGAGGAGGGATTTCCTGTTGCGTGTGTGGGTCGGCATATTTCCCGGGAGTGTGTGTGGCATTGGCGGGAGTTTCAGAAATAAAGTTTGTTCCTGTTTGAGTGGCTCGTGATTTTGTGCCCAGACAGACTGCGGCAGGTAAGCGGATGGAACTAGAGAACATCATGCTAAGTGAAATAAGCCAATCCCCCAAACCAAAAGCCGAATGTTTTCTCTGATAAGCAGATGCTGATCCACAGTGGGGCAGGGGGAGAGGGTAGGGAAGAGTGAAGGAACTTTGGCTTGTGCAGAGGCGAGGGAGGGGAGGGGTGGCAGTGGGGATGGGAAGGACCGTAGAATGAGACAGACTTTGTTACCCTACGTACCTGTGAGAGTGCACTACTGGAGTGACTCTGACCATGCACAGCCAGAGGACGGAGAAGATGTGCTCCTTTGTGTACAGTGTGTCAAAATGCATTCTACTGTTTGAAAAAAGTAAAAACACAACATAGGATATTAGCAGTGAAGGAGAAATCATATATTAATCTTAGGCACTTCAAAAAAAAACAAAACAAACCAAGAATGATGTAGTTGTCGGTGTTTTGTAGGTATTCTCTATCCCACTGAGGGAGGTCTCCCTCTGTTAGTTTCCTGAGCAGGAGTGTGTGTGAACTCTTTCTCGGGTTTCATGGATGGTAGTGGGGTTTGGCAGATGGGTTTTCTGATGTGTTGATGTGATCGTGGGCTCTTCCACCTGTTGATGTGGTGGGCTACATTAATTGATCTTCACACGCTGTGCCAGCTTTTCCTGGGACAGACCCGTTTGGATTTGGTGTGTAACTATTTCTAGATGTTATTAGGTTGGATTTGCTGGTATTTTCTCAAGGAGGTTCTCCTCTGTGCTCGTGGGGATGCTGGTCTGTAGTCTCCTTTTCTTGGACTTCTGTGTCTGGTTACAGTAATGCTGGCCTCACAGCATGGATTCGGATGTGTTCCTTCTGCTCTGACCTCGGGCGGCGACCGTGGAGAGCTGCTGTTGGGCTCGCAGTGACCCGCCCGGTGCTTTCCACTGAAGGCCGTCTGTGGCTGAGGTTCGTGGGTGTCGCTTGCTGTCTCTGGGAGCTGGTCCCTTCCCTTCGTCGGGGCAGCTGGGAGCCCAAGGCTGTGCTTCTGGCCACACCCATTTGTGACGTTCTCATTTCTTGTCTTCTGCAGTTAGCAGAGGCTCATCCATTTCACTGATCCTTTCAAAGAACTGAGTTCTGTGTTGAGCGCCTGTGTTCAGTTTTATTAATTTCTCTCCCCGTCCGTCATCTGTCCTCTCTCTGTGGGTTTAACTGGCTCTTCTTTCCCGAGCTGCCTGCCGTGGAAGCTCAGGTTGGCCTCTGTCACGCACGGTTCCTGCTGTCGGTCTCCCCTGGACGCTGTTCTCACCGCATCTTGCTGCGGGTTGAGTCAGCGCCTTCTCTGGTCTGAGTGGGGGTGTCCAACTTTCTGTTGTTGATTCCGGGTCTGTTCCATTTGGTCGTCTGAGAGCAGGCCTGTGTGACTTCTGTTCCCTTGCACCTAAGGTGTGTCTGTGGGCACTCAAGAGTGGGCTCTGCCCTCGTGGGATGGGGCAGCTGTAGCTGTCCATCGTACCCAGGGGACCCATCCTGCCGCTGGGCTGGACGTCCTGACCCATCCTGCCTGTGGCTCTTGGGTTGCTGAGAGTTGTTGCTGTCCCAGCGACCATGGAGCCGCCTCTGGTGTCCTTTGTCACCAGGCAGTGCCCTCCTCGTCCCTGACCAGCTTCCTTGCCCAAGTCTGCTGCCTGGAGCCATTCCGGCCTCCCCCTTTCTCCTGATGACTGTGTAGGATCTCTCTCTATCACTTTATTTTATTCTGTTTTATTTTTTTGTACCAGGGATTGAACCCAAGGGCACCCTACCACTGAGCCACATCACCAGCCTTTTTTCCTAAGACAGGGTCTTGCTAAATTGCTGAGGCTGGCTTTGAACTTGTGATCTCCTGCCTCAGCCTCTGAGCCACCACACCCAGCCCATCTCTATTTTTAACTCTGCATTGCCTTCGTATTTAACGTGGGGTCCTTGTAAGCACATATAATTGGATCTGGTTTTTGATCCACTCTGGTGCCTTCGTCATTTGGTGCCTTTAGACCTGGACGTTTCCGTGTTTCTGAGCGAGTTGGGTTGATGTCCACTGCCTCTGTGTCTTCTCGTGGGTCTTTGTGCCTGACGTCCCCTCTTCCCTGACCGCTGTGGGTCTGTTTGTGTCTTCAGGCGAGGACGAGGCAGGCCAGCTCGCGGTGAGCACGCCCGGCCCTTGGTTCTGTTTCCCTCCTTTTGGCCCCTCCGGCCCCTGGCGTGCCGCGCCCAGGGCGCTCCTGTGCGCACAGGTACGCAGGGCAGGTGTGCCCAGGGCGCTCCTGTGGGCACAGGCACACAGGGCAGGTGTGCTCAGACTCAGCGCTGCCTGCGACTCGGGGGAGGGGAGTGCCGCCCGCCCCGCCTTCGCCTCGCCCCGCACGCCCCACCTCCGCCCCGCCCACCTCCGCCCCGCCCACCTTCGCCCCGCCTTCGCCTCGCCCCCCACCTTCGCCCCGCCCCTCCTTCGCCTCGCCCCGCCCCACCTTCGCCCCGCCCCGCCCGTCCCACCTTCGCCCCGCCTTCGCCCCGCCCACCTTCGCTTCGCCCCGCCTTCGCCTCGCCCCGCCCGCCCCCCCACCTTCGCTTCGCCCCGCCTTCGCCTCGCCCTGCCCCGACCCCGCCGCGCCCCGTGAGGCTCTTCCGGTTGAGGTCTGAGCGGTAGCGGCCTTCCTTCTCCCTGGAAACTGCCTCCCTTGGAGGTTGAGCTCCCTGGGCCGACTCTGGCCGGTGTTCTCCTCTGTGTCCTTGTGGGCTCTTAGGACTCCCTACAGGGAGGGTGTTTCCCCTGCCTCTTCCCAGCTAGTCTTTCTGACTTCCGGCAGCTGGCATGCTCTGAACCTGGCTCTAGGCTTCCTGACACAGTGTCCCTTCCAGTCAGCTCTGAGTTGGGGCAGGGCCAGCCCCAGGGCAGGGCACCCAAGCAGGCAGGGAGCTGGCTGGGAGCCCTGGCTTTCTCTTGCCTGGTGCTGCGGGGTAAGCGACTTCCTGTGACCTGGAGGGAACACGTGCTGGCCCCCGTGGGTGGGGACGCGTTCCCTCCCCAGGTCTGTGCTGCTCTCCTCTGTCCCTGGGTGGAGGGGCTGGGAGCTGGGGGAGGGCCACGGCATGGGGGGTGGGCTCTCTGGAGCCCCCTGGGTAGCCCCGGGGGCACTGGCTGCACGTCACCCTTGGCCTTGCCAGGGCCAGGCGTGAGCAGGTCACCCGTTGCCTTCTGTCCAGGCAGGTGTCAAAAAGAAGAGAGGGGGTGGCTGGGCAGCAGGCCTGGGCTGGACGGAGCACTGGGAACCTGTGTGGCCATCACGTCTGTCTAGGTGGGCCAGGGCCTGTCCTGGCTTCAGTGGCCACCCCAGCCATGTGCTAGGAGGAGGCACCAAGGGAAGGGGTTCCAGAGGATCCGTCAGCCAAGACAGAGACTCAGGCTAGAGGTGGGCTCCTGGGGGGGTCTCCAGGTGGGGAGGCTCAGGCTGGGCTACCACCCTGTCTTGTCAGACTTGCTTTATTTTTTTCCGTGTTGGGGATTAAGCTGAGCCCAGGGCCTCACATGCTACGCAAGTGCTCTCTCCGGAGCTACATCCCCAGGACTTTTATTTTTTATTTTGAGATAGGATCTCACTAAGTTGCTGAGGCTGGCCTTGAACTTGTGATCCTCCTGCCTTAGCCTCCCAAGTTGCTGGGATTACAGGTGTGTGCCACCGCACCTGGATTACTTGCTTTTATATTTTGGTTAAATACACAACATGAGGGGCTGGGGATAAGCTCAGTTGGTAGAGTGCCTCCCTTGCGTGCACAAGGCCCTGGGTTCAGCCCCCAGCACCACACACACACACACACACACACACACACACCATGAAAGGCATCCCTTAGCCATCCTTAGCAGCACAGTTCCGCAGCATTAAGCACCTGTGCAGCCCCTGCCACCCCCATCCCCAGGTCTCCATCCTCCCAGCTGAGGCTCAGTCCTGAGCACAGCTCCCCTCCCCTCCCAGCCTGGGCACCCCCACTCCGGGGACCTCCCGTGGGTGGGATTGTGCGGAGCGTCGTCCTTAGGGCCCACCCACCGTGTAGCGGTGTTGGAGTCCTTTGGGGCTGAGTGACATTCCACAGTGAGCCACAGCTCCTCTGCCCTTCATGCAGCCAGGGCCACCTGGGTCACGCCCCACAGTGGCTCTCGTGAACATGGGTGTGTGGGTGTCTCCCTGACCCCGTGGAGTGAGGGAGAGAAGTGTGGCTGCGGGCCGCGACCCTTTGCCTCCCCCACTCCCCACGCACCAGCTACCTCTGGCCGTCCTGCCCACTGCGGTGCTTTCCTGCTGGCCGTGGCTGGGGCCCTTCCCAGGGAGCTGCTCTTGGCCTCACGGTCGCTCGTGGTGGTCTTGCTGCCCACCCTGGACTCCTGTGGGGAGTGCAGGAGCCCCAGGGGCACCTCATTCATGTCTGGAGCAGTCGCTCTGGGCCGCCCTGAGCTGAACCTGGGAGGCCCCTGTGGACATGAGGACAGCCCTGCCTCCTGCACCAGCAGAAAGGCAGAGGACAGGCCGCCGTGTGCGCTGGGCACTCCAAGGCCCGAGCCACAGCCCGTCTGCTGTGGACACAGCACTGTGTGGGCAGGACAGGGTCACCCCGGGGATGGGCCACCAGGCCGGGGGCCTCTTCAGGACAGACCTGCCAGTCAGGGGCACCGTCAGGTCCTGCCCGTGCATCCTGGACAGCTGCTCACAAGGCCTGAGGGAGGGCTGTGGACAGCTGAGCTGGCGCGGATGTCTGCTTCTGACCCTGGTGGTTTGGGCCCGCGGGAGAGTGCTGGGTGACTGCTGCCGCCCGTCTGACCAACAGAAGTGGGAGGACAGCAGCAGGTTTTCTCCGTGGCTTGTGAAGGCGCTTGCCCTGCGGCCACCATGGGAGGCTTCATGGCCAGGGAAAACCCATCTGGGGTTGGAGCACCGTCGGCCAGCGGGGCCCAGTTCCAGATCCAGCCCACGGCATGCATGGCTGATTGACCTGGGACACTATGATGTGGGGGTGAGGAGCTGCATGGTGTCTGCGGGACGTGTGGGGTGAGGGCCATCAGACAGGCCCTGGTGTGTCAGGGAAGCGTGAGTTGATTTCCTAGAACACACCATAGCCCCAGGAGCGTCCAGGCCAAACGGGCTGACCCTCAGGTGGACGCTGTGCCCTACAGCTACCGGCAGCAGAGCCTGCAGGGGAGACAGGAGGGAGAAGGCTGCTGCTCTGGGCTGAGTCCTTACCTGGTTGCTGGCCTTGGTGCTGTGGCCACCCAGAGAGGCTTCGGACAGCTCTGCGGTACCACTCCCCACTGTCCACCTGGAGGTCAGAGGGGTCTTGGGGCCTAGATGTTCTCAGGTATGAAACCACAGGGTCCTGACCAGCAGGACCCCAGATGAGCTCTGGGGCTACTAGCGTGGCACGTGAGGACCCTGGTCACCCTCCCTGGGGCTGGATTCTGGTTCGTGCCTGTTCTGAGGCCCTTTCCGCCTCGGCCTTGAGTGTGGTGGATGGCATCTGTCCTGAGATGTGTCTGTGGCTGGCATAGTCCCCCAGGATCCCACAGCCCAGAGGGTTGGCGAGGCTGTGAGCGATGTTCCTCCTCACGTGAATGATGGCTCAGTCAGCAGGGTGCGGCAGGGACAGCATGGGCCCCACCAGAACCTGCTCTCCGGTTTTCCAGGGGTCATGGAGGGTCATGCGTGAGCTGGGAGTCATCCTGCCTCTGTCTCCTCAAAGCCCAGCCTCGGCCCCCGAGCCACGGGCTGGAGGTACTTGGACGTGGGGTGCTGGGCGGCAGTGCGGGGGTCGGCCCAGCCTGGACCTGCTGGGCCCTGGCTCAGGCCCCTTCTTGGTTCCTTGGTCAGTCCCAGGGCTTGGCCCACATTCTTCCCCCATCCTGCAGGCTTTCTGGAACCTTCCAGCCTTACTGCTCACACCACCATGTGCCAGGCAGCACACGTACTTTAACTCAGTCACTACAGACTGCAAAGTAGGCGTGTTGGTCACTGCTGTGACCAAGTGTCACATTCTTTTTTTTTTTTAATTACAAGTCTTATGTTTATTTTTAACATTTGAGACACAGGTTATCTTTACAATTATATTTTTGTGTACCTATTTGCTTAAAATCAGTGAATTTTTAGGCCACATTTTGGTAACATTTGGCCTTTGTGAGTAGTTCACATGGTGAAGGCAAGGTCTGCTGCACGCAGTCTGAAGTCAGAGGGATCACGTCTGAAGATAGGCTCAGGAATTCTGGTCCAGTGGGTGCAGGTGTTTCCCTCTCTGGCAGCCGGGCTGATTGATACCTGGCTGCCAGGCCACCATTCACAGGTGCCAAGAAGACAGGGCACAGACCTCCTAAAACGAGGCCACACGTCCACCCCTCGTGGCGGTAAAGGTTTCCCAGTTCAGGCCACCTGCGCTCAGGTAAACTTACAGACCTGGAAGAAGCATCGTGTCAGAAAGGGGAGGCTGGGCTGGGGCTCGGTGGGAGGCGTCCTAGCCTGGGTGAGGCGCTGGGTTCCATTCTCAGCACCACATAAAGTAAAGGTGCAACACCAGGGAGCACTGCCCTTGGCGAGCCAGCGGCTGACTGGGCCTGTTGGGTGCAGACGGGCCATAGGACGTCCGTCAGGCCGCAGAGCAGCACTGGGTCCTGGTGTGCCTCTGTGGTCAGCTGGAGCCTTCCTGCTTCTGGGAGGTGCCCAGTTTTCTGGCTGTGATATCAGAGGTTGGGTTCCCCTCGATCATGGTTCCCCGTGGTTCATGGTTTTCCATCCTGACCCCGTTGCTCTCCTCCCAGCAGCCTGGGCCTCTCTGGCCTCCCTCTGACACGGCCTTGAGCGGCAGCCTGCATGCTGCTCGTCCCTGGGCAGCGTCTTCCCAATCACCACATTGTTAAACTCGGGCACTAGACCTCTGAGCCACATCCCAGCCCTGTTTTACATTTTGTTTAGAGACAGGGTCTCACTGAGCTGCTCAGAGCCTCGCAGAGGCTGAGGCTGGCTTTGAACTCGCGATCCTCCTGCCTCAGCCTCCCACACTGCTGGGATTACAGGTGGGTGCGCCACGCCCGGCCCCAATCACCACGTTCTTAGAACATGAGAGTGTCCAGTTCTGGAGGCCTGGGTCCTGAGGCTCCTCATCTTGGGCTCTCTAGGCTCTGAGGACGCTGGCCCAGGCTGTCCCCAGCTTGGTGTTTGCTGTCCTCTTGGGCCTTCCTCGATTTATTTGTAGCAGCATTGTCCAGGTCTCTGCCCCAAACTCCCTTCTCACAAGTACCCTGACCATGAGTCCATCCGTCACCTCACCAGAGACCCTGCCTCCAGAGAAGGGCACCTCAGGCCCAGGGCTGAGGCCTCCAACGCAGGAATTTTGTGAGGACGTGGTTCAGCGCCCTCAGCAGGAGAGCCATCCTGTCCTCAGGAAGGAGACCGGGCAGGGCTGGGTTCTCAGCAGGGCTGCGGCTCGTCCCGTCCCACTTGGTGCCCTGTGCTCACGTCACTCCAGGTCCGGGTGGAGGAGGGCTGCCCTTCAGCACCCACCCCTGCCCTTGGGTTGGGTCATGTCCTAATTTGAGTCTGAGGAGTCCCGTGAGCCCCTTGGTTCAGGCCCAGCATGGAGAGGGGTCAGCTGCAGCTGGACCTCTGCAGCAGTCTGCTTACCCTTTCCCGCAGGAAGCCACGCGGGCCGGCCCTCGGCCCCTCTGCCCTCAGCTGGCCTGGGGTGCCACGGGGCCTCGTTCCTGGCTCTGGAAGGAGAGGGAGGGGGCAGTGGCGGGAAGGCTATGTGGAGGTGTCTGGAGGTCACAGCCCGCTGTTTCGATGCTCTTTCAGGCTCTCATTGCCCAGAGTCCTGCCTTCCTGGATTTGGCCAAAGCCAAAAAGCAGAAGGACTGAAAACTTTCTCATTAAGCATCTTACGGTGCTTCTGATGGGGCCTGAAACAGGAAGTTGCACGGTCTGCTGCCGGAAGTCCACGACCTGCTTAGCGGCGGGGAAGTAGGTGTTCCCAACCTGCGGGCTCCGAGCAGGGGCCAGCACGGGGGATGCAGGACAGGGACCCCTGTGGTTGGGGGGCATGACTGAACCGACCTGGGCTGACAGCGGCTTGGGGAAAGCCGTGTTGCTCTGCACTAATTAGTTAGGGCCCTACGTTAATGTGTTAGGGCCACCATGACAAAGCGCCCCACACTGGGGACCACAGACATGGTCTCAGTCCTTGGGGCTGGGAGTCTGAGATCAAGGTGCCACAGGGCTGCCCTCTCCATGGTTTTGTAGACGATGTCTTCTCCTGTGTCCTCACGGTCATCCTTGGCAAGCGTCTGTGCCCTGACCTTATGAGGGCATGGGTCGGATCAGGGTCACCGCAGTGACCTCAGGTTACCTCTGTCCCCCTGAAAGCCCCCTCTCCCCGTGCACTCACGTGCTGAGGTCCTGGGGTCAGGCACGCACAGCATGAAGTTGACCGTCTGGCCGTTCCCGTTGCTCAGCAGGCCCACAGTCTTCACAGGGCAGCTGCAGGACCCCTCGACACCCAGCGGTGCCACCCCACTGATGGGAACCTCCTGGCTGGTCCTCAGGAAGAAGTAAATGGACCAGGGGCCGCCCGAGTCCCAGGCCCTAGCTCTGTGCCCCGCCGTGGGAGCAGGGATGCACCTCAGTTCCATCCATGAGCACTCACAGGGCTCAGGGACCAGGCAGCTGGGAGACCATGGATGTCAGCCAGGGGTCAGTGTCTCCGAGCAGGAGCTGTCCCTGCAGGGTCCCCCTGACGCCCCAGACCTTCCTGCTTCTCGGCTCTCTGAGCTTCCATGGGGATTCCTCTCTGAGCCTAGCTCCCCAGCAGGGTGACCAGCCAGGCCAGCTGTCCTGGACTGTTACTTAGGCCAGTCGGGCTGGGCAGCTTGCAGAAGGGTGTGCAGAGGGGCAGTGGAAAGGTCAGGCCCTCTGGGTTCTGGCTGATCCTGCAGGAGACCTGGGGTGAGTGGACAGGGCAGGCAGGGCTTCCGTGGCCTCCTGTCCATGGTCCTGAGCACAAGTCCCAGGAGCCCTCCTCTGTCTGGGGGCAGAGAGGGCCTGGCTCCACAGTGCCCACCAAGGGACAGGCCAGGTGTGGGCCAGAAGGAGCCTGGGCTCCGGGGAGAACGTCACCCCTCCCAGTACCCTCCAAAGACAGGAAGCAGATGGTGTGGCTTTGCCAGGACACTGTACTGCCACGTGGAGGACAGAGCCGAGGGGCCCACAGGCTCCCATGAGCCTCCCACACATGTCGCAGCCCCTGACCCCTGACCCCTCACCTGACCCAGCAGTTCCTATGGAAGGGACCAGCACAGGGCAGGTGCCACCTGCCCACAAGAGCAGGTGACGGGGTGCTGCCACAGTCGTCGCACTCTGGGGAGGAAATGGTCTCTTCAGGGGATTTCCAGCCCAGGCACCGGTTTTATTGTGGGCGCAGTGATTGAAAGAGCTGTACTTTATCAGACGTGTCACCAGAGATGGGGACAGAGACACAGATGGAGAGAGAGAGAGAGAGAAAAGGAGAGAGACAGACCACAGTAGTGTAGGTCCCCAGCAGGGCTGTGCCCAGGGCTGCAGCCAGGAAGGTCTGTCCAGGTTCAAGGGAAGGTGAAGGGTGGCCTCATTGGCCTTCTGCCTCCCAACAGCCTGCCCGGGGCCCAGCCCTGGCTCGCTGGAGCAGACCAGGACTTGCTTCCCCAGCACACGAGGGCAGGAGCCCAGGGGCCCTCATGCGTCACACCCCGGGCACACTGTGTCTCCAGGATGGACCAGCTTCCTCTCTGCCCCTTGCCAAAGTCAGCACAGACCTAAGCAAAGATCAGAGGGGGCAGGGCTGCAGCTCAGCTTGGGGCACCTGCCTAGCGTGGGCCAGCTTCCCGCGTTCCATCCCAGCCCTGCAGAACCAGACGTCAAAGCCCAGGATGGGCGTGGCCTCAGAGTCTCTGCTGACCCCGTCCTGCCTTCCGGGGCCAGAGGTGGGCACTGCCTGGACTTCAGTGCCCTCTCTGTGGAGGACTTTGCCTGACACCCCTCTTCTAAGTGAGGCTGCCCAACCCCCTCTGTGGGCCCCTGGGGAACAGGTTGGGAGGGGCCTCAGGGTGAGGTCGGGGTGCTGTGGGCAGTGGAGGTGCTGAAGACCACCGGAAAGGCCTCAGTTTCTCCCAGCCTGCGGGGAAGGCAGGGAAGGAGTGCTCTGTGCCTAGTATCATGTCATCATTGAGGAGAAACTCGCAGAAGCAGAGTGTGGCCACGTCCCATCAGCCCAGGGGCTGCAGTCTGCACCTGCCTGTTGGGGGGAGTGGACAGCTTGCCTACTGGTAATAATTCTGCTGTGTGGATCATTATCGTTATTGTATGTGATATATATTATTGTTATTATAACCTCTAGCCTGGGAGGTTCTGTTTGGATCGATGTTGTTCTTGGTGAGAGCAAGGTCGGAAGAACAGGGAGTCTTCTCAGCAGCGGGGTCCTGCCGCAGGGCACTGCTGAAGCTCCTGCCACTGGCCGCTATGAGCTGTCATTCTGTGGTCATTGCCACCAGGAGCCAGGCTGCAGCACTGTGAGGCCACTCTGCCTTGCCCTCCCTGGGGGCCTGCAGAGGAAGTGTCCTCCACGTGTCCCCGGGTCTATGAGCTGAGGGGTGTCCTTGCACCACCGACCCCTCTCCCAAGCTGCTATGGCCAGCTGCTGCAGGTCTTCTGGACACTTGGGCTTGGGAGGAGAAAGGAGCTTACGTCCTCTTCCCCTGGGGCCCAGGGGAGGAGAGCCGACATGGTGCTGGGGCAGGCAGCTGCTCCCAGGTAGAGACCCCCTTTCTTCAGTGCCAGTCGGCAGTGTGGTGTCAGGCCAGCAGGAGCACAGTAGGCAGCAGGCCCCAGGTCAGCTGGGCTGGACCAGGGCAGGGTCCTCCACAGGGTGGGTGTGCCCCTGGGTTTGGGCTCTGTGTCAGTAATTGGGCACAGGCAGGTGGCCCACTCCCAGGACCTGTACTCATGGCCACCTGTCTGCTGTCAGCCCCTCAGGCTTCAAAGAACTGCAAGGTTCCCTCAGGTTCCCTCAGAGCTTCTGGACACCCTGGGCTCTGCTCTGGGAGCCTGGGCCGCCCCACCCCAGCTCCCTGGGGGCTCCCTGAAGGCCCCGACCACCTCCGTTCCAGATGCCTCCTGCTGTACTGCGCCTGCCCTTCCTCCTGGCCTCTGGCTCTCCCAGGGTCCACTGTTGTGCAGGGCCAGTCCACATGTAAGCTGGACCCCACACTGACCAGAGGACGCTGGACAGAGGCTGCACACCCACAGTCGGGCTCCTCTGAGCCTCTTCTCCGCTGGGCCTTGCCCTTGGGCTTCTGCCTGTGCCCTTCCTTGGAGGTCCATCCAGAGAGCCAGCCCCCGACAGGGCCCCCTCTGGAGCTAGTCACCCCTCCAGCAGGCGCCCCGCGGTCCCCCTCTGATTGTCGGTGCCCCCTCCCCTGTTCTCCTGGCAGGTGGACAGCCATGCCAGCTGTCCCTGCTGACCACACTCGCCAGGCTGCCCCACGGTGGCTGCAGATACCAGCTCTCTGCGTCACGGGGTCCCCCGAGTCTGAAGGAACAGAAAGGTCCAACAGATGGCATAGGACACGTGCCTGGGGTGGACGAGGCAGCCACCCCTGGAAGCTGGGTCACTGGCCCCGAGCCTCCCAGGCCACAGCCCAGCCCCTCTCGCTGAACACGTCCTGGGAACGTGCGTGCGGGAGGCAGGGGTGATGAGCGGAGGACTGGCTGTCAGGGGGACCAAGCTGGCCAGAAGCGGTCCTTCCAGGTGGCCCGGGACAGAAGCAGCCGAAGCCAGTTCCCGGCCCACCCACCCCACACGGCTTCCTGTGAGGGCACACTGCCCCGGGGGGGTGCGGGCCAGAGAGGCTCTGGCGTCGCACAGAGAAACCCACTCCGCTGCCTGGAGCTGGGGCTCAGGATGGTGGGAGTCCGTCCCAACGTTTTGTGGTGAAGGAAGATTTTAGGTCAATACTAAAGCTCTGTGGTCACAGACGGCTCAGGATGTGGATTCCTCAGCGTCTCGGTCCACAGTGACAACACCACGGTGCTGCGCCTCCGTCACCACCCTTCCAGAGCTTTCTCACCTTTCCAGATTGGAGCCCTTTCCCCGTGGACGCTGCCTCCCTCTCTCCCAGCCCTGGCCCCTTCCTAGGCCCTGGGCTCGGCAGGTGGAAGCAGGCTGTTGGTGGGAGAGTCAGCCCCTGCTCGGTTTCTGGACCCCTCAGGAGGCGGGAATGGGCCTTCTCTGGCCTGGCCTGGTGTGGGGACCTCTGTCCCTCCTCCAGTGCAGTGACCCTGCAGACACAGCGGCCCTGTAAGCAGGCCACAGGGCTCTTGGCCAGGCACAGTGCTGAGTCTGCCGGGAGGGACGTGTCCTCCTGCTCCGGCCCAGGTGTGTTCAGGCCAGTGGAGAAGGTGCTGGGGTGGGACCATCCTAATGCCTCTGCCACACTCCCAGGCGCCCTCCTCCCGCCCTCCCCGTTCCCAGTGACAGGTGTGGGCTGCTTCCAGACAGAGATTTCTCCTGGTCTCCCTGCCCACCCTTTACCAGAGGCCTTGGGATTGTGGCCTTATAGCCCCCTCTTTGGCCCCCACTGCCTGTCCACGTGGCCTCCCCTGCCTCGGCCTCGCCCCTGATCTGTGGTCACAGGCTCAGCCCTGTGTCCACTCAGACCCTAGGGAGCTCCCGGTGGGGGCGGGGAGCAGCCCTGCTGGGCAGGACCCAGGGAGTCGGAGCCGTGCTGGAGTGCACAGAGGTCCTCTGCCAGGCGCCGTCCGCTCCAGCCTAGGCCAGGCACGCAGCCCCTCCCTCAGGGCCCCACGCGTCCCCTCTCTGCCTGTGCGCTGGCTCAGCCTGGTCTCCTTGCCCCTCCAGACTTTCCCCCAGTCCGCTCCCAGCCCCAGGCTCTGTCCCTTCCTGCCCAGGCTGCTGGCTCCTGACCCCCAGGAGCACCATGTGGCTCCTAGAGTCCAGCCAGAGTCCCTGCCTTCTGCCACCACTCCAACGTCCTGCGCCATGCTCACCCTAGGGGCCAGCTGTTGGGCACACCCACTATGACTTTGCCCTGCACTGCCCCTCCCCATCTGTCCTCCAGGCCACGGGCCATGCTCATGACCCCTGCCTCCGGTGGCATGAGAAGCGGGGACCCTGTGCCTGAGGACTGCAGTGGAGAGGAGGGAAGGGGCAGTGCTGCTGGGTCCTGCTGTCCCTGGGGAGAGCCCCGTGTGCAGCTGGGGTCTGCAGGTCCCCCAGGGTGTTTTCTGGGCAGGGGCCAGCCCCCAGCCTGGGGCTGGAGAGCCATGCAGCCCAAGACCCTGGACTGGCCTGGCCACAGCCTGAGTCTCACTCCAGGACTTTCCTGGACAGACTCCCTGCCACTGAGAGGGCCCCGGGAAACCCCGTGTGTATGTGAAAGTGGAGCTGCCCGTCCGCAGAGGCATGGGACAGCGCCCTGTGGAAGAGCCTCTGGGGTCAAAGGGCCCCTTTACAGCTGGGAGGGCGGCTGCACCCCAGGGGCCTCTCCCACCTCCAGCCCCACCTTGACTCCCACCTCTCTGACCGCAGCCCTCCACCAGGTCTGAGCAGCTCTGCCCAGGACCTTCGCACAGCTGGGCTTCTGCCGGGAAAGGTGTGTCCTCCCCGAGAGACGCTCCAGGTGGCTCCCAGCTCTGGGTCCCTCCTCCAGTGTCACCTGCTTGGTTGCTGCCCACCCTGCCTCTGCTGTCTTCCACATCATGTCTCCGTCTCTGCCTCGTCTGTGTCCCCCAGAGACGTGGCCTGGTGGACTCCCACTGCCCGGGGCCCAGGGAGACCTCAGCCTGTCAACTAGAAGCCGAGGGAGCCACCGCCTCCCTGGAGTCGGGAGCAGAGGAAGGGCCATGGGGTGTGGGGGTGGGCCCCGTGACGTGCTCAGCTCCTCCCTGGGGACTGCCCCATTCTGGGGTCCTGGGGCTCCTGGCCCGGAGTCGGGGTGCGCTCCTGCTCTGGAGCTTTGGCCTCCCGGGCAGCTGTTCCTGGCCTGGCTTTCTGCTGTGGGCCCTGGTGGGTGGGAGGGCGTCCTGCTCAGGTGTTGGCAGACACCCCCCAGAGCGGGCATAAAGGCTCTGACGTTGCCGGGAAGAGTGTCCGCGCCGCTCGTTGTGGGTGGGTGGTGCCGGCCTGTGGGCAAGACCCGTCTCCACTTCACCCCTCCAGGTCCAGCAGTTCAGCCGAACCTCCCGCTCCCTGAGGTGTCACAGCTCTGTGGCTTGGACCACAGCCAGGAGACACACCAAGGACATGTGACAGGCACCGTGTGGCCCTGAGACTCAGGGAAAGAAATCCCCTTTCCTGCTGCAAGCGTTGGGAAGGAACGGGGACTCTGTGGGGACTTTCCTGGGAAGCAGTGGGACTTACCCGACTTTTGGTTTCTCCAGGTTGGAGCTGCTGCCTGCCAGGGCGAGGCCGGGCTGGGAGGAAGTGAGCTCTTCTCCCAGAACCTTCCGCTGGCCCAGCCCAGGGGACACACCTCGGTGCCGGGTGGTGGGGATCCGCCTCGCGCTCCCTGAGCTCAGCCCCCCTGCCCTGGCTCCTGCCTGGGCCAGCTCCTCCTGCCTGGGGGCTTGGCTCCCCCACCCGGCTGGGCCTCAGTTTCTGATACCACTTGCAGAGGACACCTGGAGGAACTGCAGCCCAGGGCTGCTGGGGTGGACAGTGAGCCTGTTGGTATCCCCGCCCCCGGGGCCTGGATCCCCCCTGCCCTGTATGTGCCCACCCCCTCCCAGCCTAGCAGCAGGGCGTCCAGGGGACATCCAGAGTCCTTCTTCCTCTGAGGAGGAGGAAGTCAGAGGAGCAGGCTGGGCCTCTGTCGGGTCTCAGGAAGGTGACCCCTCCAGGCTCATGTTTGTTCCCAAACAAGATGAGGAAGCTTGGTCAGCCAGCGCTGCCTCGGCTGCTACCGGGCCTGGCAGGTGACTTTCCTGTAGCCTGAGTGCTCTGGGAGGCTCTGTGCCCTCCAGCCTGCCTGGGTGGGTCTGACCCGGTCTCCCCGGCAGCCGGGCCTGCTGGGTGCCTGGCCGTGAGGGCCTGAATGGTTCTGCCTCTGTCCTGGAGACCTGCACCCAGGCTCCTCTGCTGATGGCGCCCGCCTGGGTCTTCTGCGTGGGTCACAGGAGCCAGAGATGGCATCGCCCTGCAGACCGGCTTCTCCCGCTGGGGGCCAGAGCGGACAGCATGTCACCTGGTGGGCGACAGGCCTGCAGCAGTGACCACAGGCAGCAGGAACTCCAGCTGGCTTGAGTTCACCTCCCTGAGAGCTAAGCCCGCCAGGTTACACCTGCCAGGTGACAGGCCTAGTGACCTATGATTGACACTAGAGTTACGGAGGCGCCATTCCTACCAGCCAGGATCAGGCTCCCTGAAGAGAGGCTGAATCGGGCAGGGGAAGCGGACCCTCCCCCGGGCTCTGGGTCTTCATCCTAATGTTCTTACAGCTTCACTTTATAATCAGGTCTGGTTCCCATCACAAGGGACGTGGACTCTGGATCAGGAAGCAGATGGGGACCTGCCCACTTTGTAACCCACACTCACCTCTTCATTGTGCACTCTTCAAAAATGGCCACTGATAACATGGTTTGGGATCCACAAAATCTGGGATGGCCCACGGCACCCGGATCCTGGCTGCTGGTGAGGGTGGAGTGTGGGGCGCTGCCCCGAGGTGAGTCTGAGGGGTGAGGGCAGGAGGGGGTGGCCATGCTGGGGGCGTTTCCTGTGGGGTTCCACAGGCCCAGCTGAGCAAGAGGGCAGGTGCAGGGTAGGGGCCATGCCCTCTGGGGACTGAAGGCTGTCCTTGTACATGGGACTCCACCCAGGGTCCGGAAGGAACCACCTTGGGTCTGGGGTGCACCTTGGGTCTGGGTAGCTGCTCCACAGGCCACGGCGGGACGGCAGGACAGCAGGACCAGGTGGGGAGGTGCTGCAGGGGCACTGGGGGAGAAGCCAGGACTCCAGAGCTGGGGGGCCCCCACAGCCCAGACAGCCAAACTGCCAGCCACCCCCCCCCCGCCTCTGCCCCATCGGCCATTCCCCACACCTTCCCCACACGCTGGGGACCCCAGTCTGCCTCCTTATTCTGGGACCCTGGCCCTACCCGTCTGGCACTGGCCATGTCTCTGTGTGCACGTGGTCCCCAGGGCCAGAACAGGTGTGGACTGCGGTTACTGCGTCTCGAGACTCCTGTGGGCACGGTGGGGTGCACATTTAAGCATCTCTGTTGTGTCGCTTGCTGTGCTCAGTTCTGTCAAGTGAAACATCTTTTTAAAGGCTGAGTGGGCTGGTGGTTTTTAGATTTTTCTCCGTGTTGTTCTGTACTTTCCAAATTTCTGTTTAATCAGATATTTGGTTTGTTTTCGCAGAAGCCATGCACTCTGCATTTAGAACCTGGTCCCAGGGTGGCAGACACATCTGCCAGTGTGGACACTGGACCCTGCCCTGGTGCCCAGCATCCTCCCTTTACCCCTATGGCGGCCACACCTGAACCTGCAGCCCTGGTCCATGGGGGCAGGGATAGTGAGGTTCCTGGAGCCCTTAGCTGCCGGCCAGTAGCTTCTCCCGATCCACTGCAGACCCTGCCGAGCAAGGCCACCTGCACAGGTGTGGGCAGAACTGGAGCACCAGGGAGGAGGCCCGGCCGGCCGAGGCCACAGCCAGGCCAGTTCAAGGCACCTTTCAGCAAGGAAGCCACGGCCACTGACGGTGGGCGGGGAGCAGACTGGTCCACGGCATTTCTAGTACTCAGATGGGCAGAAAGAAGGTTCTAGGACAAGACCGTTTCTTGAGAGGTCAGGAGGAACCAAAACCTTCCCCCTGCCATCCTGATCTGGTTCCCTGTGGGAACAGTGGCCTCTGATCCTGACTCCTGCCTGCTGGACTTCTGTGGCTGACTCACTGCCTCCTGTTTACATTGCCATGCGTGTGTGTGTGTATGCACGTGTGTGTGTGTGTGTGTGCGCGCGTGTGTGCCCGGGTGAGCACACGTGCAGTCCAGGCAAGGAGAGGCCACGTCAGCAGGCCCTACTCCAGGAGGGAGGCTTCCTCCGCTGGACACTTCCATGGGGCCCAGCAGGTCAGAGGTGACCTTGTGACAGGTGCTGGGGAGGTCACAGCCTCCTGACAGGGCCAGAGCAAAGGGGGCAGTTCTGCAACCCAGGCCCACTCCTGCCGCCCGCTCCTGCTGCCCCAGGAGAACTCTCAGAGCCGCAGGGTGGCCACCGTGAGGCCGGGGCGCATCCTGGGCAGAGACCTGCTGCCCTGCTGTCCAAGGTCTGGCCGGACAGAGCCTCTTCCTCCTCCTGCCAGACGCCAGACCTGAGACCTTTGGGCCTGGGGAAAGGTCAGCTCACTTCCTCCCTGCCCGAGGTCTGCGGTAGAACGTGCTCCTGAAAGTGAGTCCCAAAACCCCGGAGCGGGGTTTCCCTGGCTTGGAGAAAGTCCTGCTGGGGGCTTTACTGGAGCCCACAGCCGCCGCGAGGCCAGGGGCCAGCGGGCCGGAGGGGGTTCCTGGAGACCCACAGACTTTCTCTGGGCTGAGTCCTGGAGTCGGCCCCTCCTTCCCGCCTCCCGCCCCTCCAGGCCCCTGCTGGGTGAGTGCGGTGCGCAGGGGTGTGGTTGGCTGGAGGCTGTCCTCCCTCCTGGCTGGGAAGCCTTGTTCTCTGCCCGTGGCCTCCTTTCCTGTGGCCTGAGAGCCCTTTTCTTAGGACGAGAGCTTGGGCGTGGGGTCTGCTCCCCTCTGGGAAGAGCTCCTCCTGATCCTCAGCTAGTCACACCTGACAGCTCCTAGCTCCAAACAAGGCTACCTTCACGGGCTCAGGGGACCTGCACTGGCGGGCACTTCTCGCCCAGAGCCGGGCAGGGCTTGGGCTCCACCACTGGTCCAGCTGCCACAGTGTGGTCCTCCTGGTGTCTGCCAGTGAGACCTGTCACCCCTGTGTGCTGGGGTCTTGCCATGGCCCTTGGGGCTGTTCTGACTCCACCTGGGGGCTCAGGGAGCTGGGGCGGAGGCTGGCAGCCTGGGATGAGGGAGGTCCCGTCGCTACCCACCTCCCAGGCCTGACCAGCCCCTGAGCTTGTCTCCTACCGCCTTCCTGCACAGCCTCGCGCCGTGGACAGCAGGGCTGCCTCTCGTGTTGCAGGGGCAGGCAAAGTGCAGCAGCTGTGCGGAGACCGGTCGGGGCTCCTCAGCAAGCCGCACGTCCACTCCTGGGGATGGGCACGCACAACAGAAATGGGAACAGGCGGCCGGGCAAAAGCCCGCACCAGGCTGCTGACAGATGGCAGCAATGGCCCGAGCGTCTACTGACAAATGAAGGGAGGGCATCGTCACGCTGATGCTCCAGGGGGCCTGGGCAGCGTCCTGGTGGACGGAGGGGCAAGGCATGCCGTAGTCCCGCCCACACGGAAAGCACAGAAGGCAAACGCCCAGAGAAGGAAAGTGGGTGGTGGAGTCTCGGTCTGAGGGTGGAAGTGAGGTGGACTGACTGCCGATGGGTCTCCCTGGGGAGGGGAGAATGTTCTGGAACTAGAGAGGGCAGTGGTTGCCCAATAGTGAGAGTGCCCTGACTTGTGCATTGTAAAATGTTAAACAGTCGATTCCACGTCCTCGGTCTTTTACTTCCCGAAAAATCAACCAGCAAGTGGCGACACTGCACCCTTTCTTGGATCCCAGCCTGGGGTCAGAATTCTGGCCAGGTCCTCTGCTCAGGAATCAGGGGTTGACCCCAAATGTCACCAGTCTGCTCTCTCTGGGTGCTCAGGACCCCTCTTGACTCATTCAGTGGTCAGCAGAATGTGGATGCCGGATGGAGGTCCCCTTCCTGCCTGCACTCCTGTGCTGGGGGTCACTCTCGGGCCTCTCCTGGGCCCGTCCCTCCAGGAGCCAGCTGTGGTACATGAGATCTCTGGCCTCCTCTTCTCTACCCGGCAGAGGAAGTACTGCTTGTCAAGCACCAGTGTGTCGGGAGGCCTGTCCAGGCCTCCTCCCTGCTTGTTCTAAGGTCAGCTCATGAGGGACCCTAACCCACCTTCCCAGTCCCTCTGACCTGAATGTAACGACCGAGGTGCAGCACTGACCGCAGGACTCTGTTCCCAAGTGCCCTGTTGTCCCTTCCACCGAGCCATGTCCACGGCAGGTTTCTGAGAAGTGCCACTGATCACCTGGGCTCCCGTTGGGACACAGGCACTGGCTCAGGTTTGGGTGAGGCCCGCGCAGGGCAGCCTGCTCCAGAACTGGGAGGTGGGGATCCCTGATGTGCTTCAGGGTGCCAACGGCCCTGCCCACGAGGCCCACAGTGAGGGGTGGGGTCTGGGGAAGCGCGGTAGGGTGCGCCTGGCCCCCTGCCAGCCCCGTGGCAGCTTTTCAATACTGGCTTTCAGACTTCTCTGCCAGGGGCTTGACCTAACTGCCTTCGCGCTACACAGACGGAGCCCTGGGGGCCGAGTGGCTGCGGGTGGGAAGGCCCAGGGTGGTGTCCAGGGGCCGGCAAGGGAGGCGAGAAGGGAGGGGCTGCCAAGGAGGGACACAGATGGCCTTGGCCCGTCTCCCTGGGTGGGCCCACTGCTCCTGGCCTGGGCTCAGACAGGCTCCTGCTGCCTCTCACGCTTGACATTTGCTGGTGACATGTAGGAGGGGCTGCGGGCAGGGTCCCCACCCTCCCTGCAGATGATGGTGTCTGGTTATACAGCCATTTCCTTGGGAAAGAAAGTGACCCGGGGGATTCCTTTTTACTTACACCATCTTGCCAAACTTCAACATCCTGACTTGAAAGCACCGCTTGAAGCTCAGTGCCGAGGTTGACCTTGGCCTGCCCCACGGGCTTGTCCTAGAGAAGCAGAGGGGTCCGGCTCTGCTGACCTCTGCTGTGAGTCCGCTGACTTGCGACTGGTCTGCCCTCAGCCCTCGCCAGGCCCCCGGCCGCCCCTTGCCGCTCTGTTCTTGGGCCCTGATCTTGAGTCACCTCCTGTTTTCCTGGGTAGTTAATGTTGAGTTGTCTCCTCAGGAAGGGACGGTCCCTCGGGCAGCTTCTGAGCCACTGTGTAGCTGAGAATGTCTTTCTGTTGCCTGGACACACACCACAGTGACCCACCGTGACCCAGCAGGAAGCAGAAGTCCAGTGTGCAGGGGTGGGGGGCTGTGGCCTGTAACGGGGGAGCCCCTGGGCGCTCGAGTCCCCTGGGCCCTGGTCCGAGGCCCCCACTGGAGGGGCGAGGGGTACCGGGCTGGTTCTCCTCACCTTGGCTGAGACCCAGGGAGCCCATGTCCACTGAGGTTTCCTCCGTGGCCTGAGTGTGGGTGGGCTCGCTTCCGAGTGCTCCTGTCTCCCTACTGGAGTCCACCGTCTACCCTGCACTGTCCTCTCCTGCCAGGGCAGGGGCGCTGGGCGTGGCCATGGGGTGCCGTCAGGAGCCGGGTCTCTTAGGCTCATGGACAACGAGCAGCCATTTCCTGCCTCGGTCTCCCCACCTATGGTGACAGCCCTCCCTCATGGACAGGTGTGAGGAGAAGGCCGTTGCACACACACACGGGCACCTGGTGGGCAGGTGTGAGGAGAAGGCCACACACACACACACACACGGGCACCTGGTGGGCAGGTGTGAGGAGAAGGCCACACACACACACACAGGCACCTGGTGGGCAGGTGTGAGGAGAAGGCCACACACACACACACACACGGGCACCTGGTGGGCAGGTGTGAGGAGAAGGCCACACACACACACACACACACACACATGGGCACCTGGTGGGCAGGTGTGAGGAGAAGGCCATCGCACACACACACGGGCACCTGGTGGGCAGGTGTGAGGAGAAGGCCACACACACACACACACACACACACACACACATGGGCACCTGGTGGGCAGGTGTGAGGAGAAGGCCATCGCACACACACACGGGCACCTGGTGGGCAGGTGTGAGGAGAAGGCCACACACACACACACACACACACACACATGGGCACCTGGTGGGCAGGTGTGAGGAGAAGGCCACCGCACACACACTCGGGCACCTGGTGGGCAGGTGTGAGGAGAAGGCCACACATACACACACACGGGCACCTGGTGGGCAGGTGTGAGGAGAAGGCCACACATACACACACACGGGCACCTGGTGGGCAGGTGTGAGGAGAAGGCCACACACACACACACACGGGCACCTGGTGGGCAGGTGTGAGGAGAAGGCCACACACACACACACACGGGCACCTGGTGGGCAGGTGTGAGGAGAAGGCCACACATACACACACACGGGCACCTGGTGGGCAGGTGTGAGGAGAAGGCCACACACACACACACACGGGCACCTGGTGGGCAGGTGTGAGGAGAAGGCCACACACACACACACACATGGGCACCTGGTGGGCAGGTGTGAGGAGAAGGCCACACATACACACACACGGGCACCTGGTGGGCAGGTGTGAGGAGAAGGCCACACACACACACATACACACACACGGGCACCTGGTGGGCAGGTGTGAGGAGAAGGCCACACATACACACACACACGGGCACCTGGTGGGCAGGTGTGAGGAGAAGGCCACACATACACACACACACGGGCACCTGGTGGGCAGGTGTGAGGAGAAGGCCACACACACACACACACACACACACACGGGCACCTGGTGGGCAGGTGTGAGGAGAAGGCCATCGCACACACACACACACACACACACACGGGCACCTGGTGGGCAGGTGTGAGGAGAAGGCCATCGCACACACACACGGGCACCTGGTGGGCAGGTGTGAGGAGAAGGCCACACATACACACACACGGGCACCTGGTGGGCAGGTGTGAGGAGAAGGCCACACACACACACACACACATGGGCACCTGGTGGGCAGGTGTGAGGAGAAGGCCACACACACACACATGGGCACCTGGTGGGCAGGTGTGAGGAGAAGGCCATCGCACACACACACACACGGGCACCTGGTGGGCAGGTGTGAGGAGAAGGCCACACACACACACACACGGGCACCTGGTGGGCAGGTGTGAGGAGAAGGCCACACACACACACACACGGGCACCTGGTGGGCAGGTGTGAGGAGAAGGCCACACACACACACACACGGGCACCTGGTGGGCAGGTGTGAGGAGAAGGCCACACATACACACACACGGGCACCTGGTGGGCAGTGGTGGGAGCTTTGCTCACTTTGCTGGTGGTCATGAAACGAGGACAGCAGACATTCCTGTGCTCCAGGCCCACCCAGGTGTGACGTGCAGGTGTGCTGGGGTGACACTCCCGCCTCTCCTGAGGGGGGGGTATGGGGAAGAGGGCTGTTCCCTGACCCACCGCTCCTGTCCACAGGATGCCGTCCCTGACCTTGGGCCCGGGTGGGCGCCAGGCCCAGGAAGGCCGGTCAGACCCCTTCCTCAGGCTGAGAATCTGCAGCTCAGCCCACCTGCTCCAGACCTCTGCTGAGGGACTGGAGGTCCCTGGCGCTAGACGGCCTCAGCCCCAGTCCCAGGACTAGATCAAGGGGACTGGAGGCGACCGGGTGGTGTCCAGTCTCTGAGGAAGCAGGGACAGAGTCCAGGTGGGTGGGCCCACTGCTCCTGGCCTGGGCTCCGACATAGGCTCCCTGCTGCCCCTCTCGCCCCAGGACAGGTCTTTCCCTGCCGTTGGAGGCCTCCGACAGCCTGGTGCCCAGACTGTGGCAGCCCATCCTCCTGGACCTGCCAGACCCGGGCTGTGCAGCAGGCAGCCCACTACCAGAGCCCCCTGGACCTTCACTGCTTTGAGAGCACCCAGGTGTCAAGAAGGTCCTGCCGTCCGCGGCGTCAGCTTGCCCGCCTGCCCCTGGGTTTGGTTTCTGCCTTCGAGCGCCCTGCAGAGCCTGCCGTGGAGATAAGTTCTGACATATTGTGGAATCCGGCATTTAAAAAGTGATTGTGATTTCACACTTGTACACGTGTCCCAATGCCTCCGCGGTTTGACACTCAGAAGCCGTGAGCCAAGCTTCCTCGCCACTCGGGCCTTCTGTCTCTTCCTCTCCCTCACCTCATTCTCTCCTGCCAGAGCTAGAGTCACCCAGATGTATTCTAGTCTTGAATGTGTTTTCCCGACCGCTGTCTTACTTTTCTGCAACAAATTACACACTAGGAGAACCAGAGCCAGAGACGTTCACTGTCACCACGAGGCTCTGGGTGTAAGATTTTTTCTGAATTATAAGCAGTGCAATAATTAATATGCATTTGATGAAAACAACCAGCAAATATCAACATTAGATAAATAACCCCCCACTGGGGATTGAGCTCAGGGGTGCTTAACCACTGAGTTATATACCCATACCATACCCAGTCCTTCTTAGTTTTTGAGACAGGGTTTTGGTTGCTTAGGGCCTTAGTCGCTGAGGCTGCACTTGAACTTGTGATCCTCCTGCCCCGGCCTCCCCAGCCCCTGGGATGACAGGTGGCGCCTCCACCGCTGGCTGATGTCTGAATGTGAGAGGCAGATTGTTGGGGAAGCGTCTCCTCGCACGGCCTGTTTTTCCTTACTGTCTGGACTTGGTTATGGCTAGAATCACCGGAGCTCAGCAGGGCTGGGTCTCTCCTTGGTTCTACAAAGGGAAATGGATGGAGTTTTATGGTAGCAGAAAAAGAAAGAAAGAGGAATCAAGCCTCTGAGTCCTTTCCTAGCCATGTTCCAAACACCCCGTGACAGGTGACGAGGCGGATCTGCCAGGTGGGCTCAGCTGCCCTGTCCTCAGAGTCCCTGGGAAGTTCCTGACACATGTGTGGCCGTGCAGCGGGCGTGGTTTCCGGGAAGCCCTCCAGGAGCCCCCCCGGCGGTGGCCACACCGTTGGGGTCCCTGCACCCGTGGCCGCCGGCTTGCCCCGACTGCTCTGCAGCGCAGGGAAGCCAGGGTTTCCCGGGACGGGCGTCTCCCCTGGCATCGCCGCACAGTGGTACAATGCCATCCCCTGCCTCGAGTGCACTTTGTTGACAAACACGGAGCTCCAGGTTCCACGGCCTCGCGAGGGGCATGTCACCATGGCGCTCACCGACGCGGTGGACACTCAAGGTTTCTCTCAGAGAAGCTGCAGATGGGCTTGTCTGCTGCGCTCGCGTGGGAGGTGGGTCCCAGGAGCCGTGGCGGGCCGTCTGCACAGCAGGCCCGCGGCAGCACCAGGGTCGGCAGCACCAGGCGTCACCGCGTGGCCAGGGTGAGCCGAGCTGGCGGTGCGCTGTCCCCTGGCTCCCTCCCGTCTTCAGTGGCAGTGCGATGAGTGTCGGGGTCCTGGGGTTCAGTGTGTGAGAGTGTGTACACGTGTGTGTGGGGGGGTGTGTGAGTGGGTGCAGGGCGGGGCTTTCCCCTGAGAGTCTCCCAGCGGGAGGGAAGGGGCTGGCGGGTTTGTTAGTGGATTCTCTGAGTAAGATGTGGGTTTTGCCCTGGGCAGCTTGGGACCTCAGCTGAGCAGGTCACCTTGTCCCCACACTTGTCGGTGCCCGAGTTGCTGGCCTGTGCCGTCCCTCCCTGCCCATCACCCTCAGCAGCACGGTGCAGAGGAGCTGAGATGGCTCACCTGGTGCCTGGGAGGCGGGGCCATCACACCCTGCTCACCTGTGGCTCCGGAGCCCCACTGCCCCTCTGTAAAACCCCACCCTGTCACCTGGGAACCCGTGACACCTGCTAGGACCCACAGAGCCCCGTCCAGGGTGGGCTCATCCTTGATGAGGACATGTACTGTGGCCAGTGCTGGTCACTGGGGGGACCTAGAGATGGAGCTGGGGCACTGGGTGCACAGGCTCTTGGCAAGACCCCTTGGGAAGCTGAGGCTCTAGTGCCTGGTCCCCAGCCTGCCGGGGGGAAGTGCTTGGTACTTCCCCGCCCCCGTGTCAAGGCCACCAGCCCAGAGCCCCCTCCACCCTTGGATTGAGCCCCTCCTCCCCTCGCCCCCACTCTGCTCACCTGACCTCAGCATAGCCTGCTCTACGCAGGGTCTCCACATCACAGCCTTTAAACTCAGGCACACCCCCAGAGGGGCCAGGGTCTTGGGCACCTGAGACATTGCAATCTTTTTTTAGTTAATTTAATAAGTTATTTTCTGGTGGTACTTGGGATGGAACCTAGGGTCACTCTTGCACTAGCTATGTCCCCAGCTCTTGTTAATTTGAGAAAGGGTCTTGCTAAGTTATCCAGGCTGGCCTTGAAGTTGCCATCCTCCTGCCTCAGCCTCCAAAGTAGCTGGGCAGGTGTGCACCACCACACCCAGCAGCCATCTTTTCTTTGTGGTAATCGAATCATTTGTTTAATTAACTAGTAATAATAACGGTGATTCGTCTCTAAAGACACAGTGAGGAGCTCATAAAGAAAGCCCTCTGTGGCTGCACCCACTCCGCCCTGAGGGGGCCCCTGCCAGGTCCTTGGCTGTGTTGCCAGGGTCACCTCTGCTGTTGTTTATTTTCTTTAATTCTCAGATACTTCACCTTCCACTAGAAAACTTTGATCTGAGTTAACAAGATCTATGTGTAGTGGGCTGAATCATGGCCCCAAAGAGATCCACGGCTCCATCCTGGAACCTGTGAATATGGGCCCCACACCTTGGGACGTCCTAGCCGGTGGGACTGACTTAGGGACGGAGATGGGGACATTAGCTTCGGTGATCCTGGTGGGCTGAAGTCATCACCGGGTCCCTGTCAGAGGAAGGCCCGAGATGTGAGGCAGGAGCAGAGGCCAGAGCAGGGGAGCCACACTGCTGCTGGGGTGATTAGGATCTGGACTGTCCTCAGAGTCTCCTGGGTGCAGAGGGGGCTTTGGGGAAGTGGCTGGATCACGGGGCTCTGACCTCAGCAGTGGATTCGCCCACTGATGGCTGGGAGAGTCCTGGAGCGGGGACCTAGTTGGAGAAGTCAGCCTTGGGAAGCCCTAGGAGGTTCCGTCTTCTCCGCCCTCCCCCACTTCTGCCCTTCCCGGCTGCCGCGAGCCGAGCGGGTCTGCTCCTCCAGCTCCTCACGTCGGGTTCAAAGCAATGGAGTCATCTGACCAAAACTCTGAAGCCACGAGCCATAATCGATCTTCCCTCCTCTAAGTTGTTTTCATCAAGTATCTTGGTCACAGTGACCGAGTGTTGACTGATACAGAAAATTGGTTCCAGAAGTGGGGTCATCGTTGTGACTATGTGAACCCCTGGCGCTGTGGTTTGGAAGCCTTTGGAACTGGTTTGTAGGAGGAGTTTGGAAAAGTCGGAGATGCAGGCTGGAGATTCTCCTTCGAATGTAAGGAGAACTTAGTGGGTGATTGTGACGGGACCCCAGAATCCAGAATGCCAGGAGGAACGCAGACAGTAAGACTGTGCTCAGGAACCTTCGCATGGGACGAGGTCTCTGCTGGGAATTGGACCAGAGGCCGTTTGTTACATCCTGGAAAATAACTTCTCTCCATTTTGCCCGTGTTCTGAGACTTTCTGTGAGGCTGAATTTAAGGTGATGGACACATCAGCGGAGGAGATTTCAAGGCAGCACCCATTGAGATGTTGGCGTAGATATTGTGGGCAGCTTGGGGCCAGATTCACCATGAGAACTGGAAGCAGAAAACAGAGGGAAAAGGCTTAAAAACTAGCAGTTTGGCCAGAAAAGCATCGAAAGTTGGGGCCAAGGAGGATGCAGGTGCTCAGGAGAGTAGATAAAAGAGAAGCCCAGAACGTCGCACAGGGCACAGGGATGGTGGGAAAGTGGCCCTGAGGGCAACTCAAACATCTAGGCCACACCCACTTGCTCCAAAGTAGAAAAGGGTCCACTGGTTTGAAAGGCGCTGCTTGGAGGGGAGAGCACCAGTGCTGCCCAGGAAGTCATCTCCCCAGGCACTCAGAGGCGGCTGCAGCCGTGGCCCCAGGGGGCCTGGCTGCTGCTCGAGCTGGTGACAGACCTTGGCATCGCCCATGTGGTCTGGTTCTGCAAGACGCTGGAGTCTGGGGGTCATGAAGGCTTCCACTGAGATTTTAAGGAAGGCCCGCAAGGGGCAGACACCGTGTTTCAGGGTCCTCGCTGGCAGTCCCTGACAGGGTGATGTGTGAAGCTGAAAACTGAGGCTGTGATGGAGAAGCCAAGAAGTCAGAGGTGCCGGGAAGGCGGACTGTTTGCAGAGGAGAACCAGGCAGTGAGCAGAGCCAGCACAAGAGAGCCGCACAGGCAGGGCTTCCCCAGCCCCGTGGGACCCACACTCCACCTCCAAGGGTCGTGGAGCCCAACGTGGAGCCACAGGACTTGGTGTTTGCCTGCTGAGTTTTGGTCTGTTTTGACCCCGCCCTTTCTGACTATGCCTCTATTCCTTCCTTTGGGAATGGGAATGTTCTGCGTGCCGTTTTATGTTGTATCTAAGTAACTTGCTTTGGATTCTGGGGCTCACAGCCAGAAGGTTGCCTTGAGTCTCCGAGGAGATCTTGGAATTGGTTTTTTGAGCAGTGGAGGGACTGTTGAGACTGCGGGGACCCTGTGGGTGGACTAGACACATTCTGCACTGTGTGATCATCAGGAGACCCTGGGGCCAGGGATGGAATGTGATGGGTCGTATCTGGAATGTCCCCAGAGTCTCATGCGAGCTGGGGATGGGGGAGTAGTGATGGGATCACGAGGCTCTGACCTCAGCAGTGGATTAATCCGCTGTTGGCTGAATGGATGACTGAGCCCAAAGTGGAGGAAGGATGTCACTGGGGTGTGCCTTGGAAGGGTCTCTCAGGCCTCTCTTAAGAGCCCACATTTATAGAAAGCTAAATAAGAACCAGAGTGATTGATGATTCAAGTTGTGTACTAAACCACAGCTTGCAAAACACATCTTAGCAGATGCCATGGCCCCCAGCCACAGCTTTGAAGCCCATATTTATTTGGCCACTTGAGAGGGCAAGAGCCCTCTCTGGCTCCCTGCGGAGGAGGTTTCGACACGGCTCTGCTGTCCTGGCAGCTGTGGAGTGAACCCTCCCCGCCAAGCACTGCGGCCTCCGCCTCCCCGTGGTGATGGCTGCCCCGGGAAGGGCCTGAGACCAGGCAGGGAGCAGGCCTGGGCGCCTTCCGCCACATCACTGGGGCCTGTGGGGTCCCCTCAAAGGAAACCCAAGTCTTGAGGATGTGTCTGTGCAGGCTGAGGGAGCCCCGAGAAGCACCTGGGTGTCACAGTCCCCTCCACATACAGCCTCCCATGCCCCTCAGGCCTCTCTCAGCTGGAGGAGTCAGTGGGCACACTGCTCTGGGCTTGCTCCTTCTCAGTGCAAGCCCCTTGGAAGCGGCTGTCAGCGGTGGCTGTGGTCATGGCTACCATTCTTGCTGCATCTCACAGCAAAACAAAGTTGATCCGTGATGGCCGGGAATAAAAGACTGACATCTCCCACATGGTGTCGGGCGGGAAGTTTCCCAGGCCAGGCCTAGACAGAGCAGCGCCCACGGAATGTCCCTGAGCCTGATGGGGCACTCGTTACCATCCTGAGCGGCTGAGGAGCCAGAGGCCCTCAGAGCCACTGACAGCCCCCTTCTGCCCAGGAGCCTTGGGGTCATGGGGCCCTTCTCCTGTGGCTATCTTCTCCTCTTCTGAGGACGCCAGCTGTGTTGGACCAGGGCCACCCTGATCCTATGACGGCGCCTAGGCTGATGGCCTTCGCAAGACTCCACCTCCCAGGAAGTCAGCCTCAGGCACGGCATTTGTGACCTCAGCTGACCTCCGGGGGCACAACTCCACCCCGACATGTCTTCTCACTCATTGAGGTCCCCTCTCCAGAGCCCTCCTGCTGTCCTCTGGACTGCTGGCTCTCTGCAGCGGTGAAGGGGCCACCAGGCTCTCTGCCCTCGTCCTGAGAGCTGGGGAGCCTGCTGTGGGCCCAACCCCTCTCAGCTCCTTGGGGGCCTCCTCATTTTGCTGAAGCGTGTCCTGGAGAAGGCACAAGGGCGCACCTCTCCCAGTCCCCGGGAGCCTGGACACCTGCCATCCACTTCCATGCCTGGTGGACAGTTTGGCCGGGGATGAAATCCTCAGCAGAAAACCTTCTGAGGGCATTGCTGGGGCTGCCCACCCACTCCAGCAGCTCCACCTGCCCATGGCGGGGAGCCTGATGACAACTTCGTTTTCAAGGATGAGGGAGATGTTCCTCAGAAATATTTAAGAGTCTCCCTTTTTTCCCCTTCATTTTCTGAAATTCACAATATTTTAATTCATTATTACTACTCATGGTTGTGGCTCCTTTTCAACTGGACCTTTTGGCCTGAAAATTCACATCCCTTCAATTCAGAAACTTCGGTTTCTGTGTCAGGCAGCCTTGTGTTACTATAACAAAACCACCAAGGCAGGCTGTTTTATAAAACGGTTTATTTTAGCTCATGGTTCTGGAGGTCCAAGGTCAAGGGGTTGCCTCTGGTGATGGCTTTCCTGTTGGCAGAGTCCTGAGGCAGCACAGAGAATCCCATGTCGTGTGTGTGTGTGTGTCCTCTGGTCTCCCTCCCTATTTTATAAAGCCACCAGGACCCAGTCATAGGGGCCCCAGCCTGTGGCCTTGTCTAATCCTGATCCCTCCAAAGCCCCCACGCTCAGCACCGGGTGGCCTTTCCATCCTCCTGATACCTCACGGTGGTGACTGAATCTCAGCAGGGTGCCATGGGGGACACCCAAGCCCCCCAAACCACAGCACTCTGCCCCGTCCTGCCTGGGTTCTCTGGCTGGGGTCCTGCTGGCCACACACCCAGCCTCGGCCTGTCTGGCTTCCTGTCTTCTCTGTCAGATGCCCTTGTCCCTGCCTCCCCACTGTCCACTGAGTTTCAGTGGTGGCTACACTTGAACCTCCAGCTCTGTCTTGGGCCTGTGCTGCGTGGTGGGGGCCGCCTCTCCTCTGGAGCCGTAAGCAGCAGGGGTGCTGCGGCCAGCACTGTCCACCCATGACTCGCCTGTTTCTTCCAGGGTCCATAGTTTCCCTCTCGCCCCGTCTGCCTCATGTCACCAGGCACTCACTGGTGGCCTGCTCTCTGGTAACCACACACGAGGATCCCCTGAGACTTAGGCACATAATGCTGGGGTGCAGGAGAGGCCTCAATTCTAGAACCTGGGTGGCCTCGCAACACGGGTTCCTTTAACTCAGAATCAGAACCCGCCACTATAGACCGAATGTCTGCGTCCCCAGTTCACATCCGGGGGCATCTATGCCCCCAGGGGCTGGTGTTGACGTGGGCCTGCAGGAGGTGACGAGGTCACGAGGAGAAATCCTGATGGGAGACCCAGAGCTGTCCTCTCTCTGCTGCGTCAAGGCACAAGGAGAAAGTGGCCATCCACATTCCTCCCCAGACACGGACCTGCCGGCACCTGGACCTCGGACGTCCAGACAGAACCAGGAGAAACAGTTGCTGGTGTTGAACGGCGAGGGGACAGGCGCCGGGGTGGGGGCAGGAGGGAGGGACTCATTCTGTGAGTGGCCCACGTGCTGACCCTCACGAGCCTTCTTTGTCAGAAGCACTTACCTGCAGCCCTGCCTGGCTGGAGTGGACCCATGAGGAGACACAGTCCCCAGCACACGACCTGTTATCTGCTGGAGAAACGCAGGCGCAAAATCATGTCGATAAGCCTACCCTGAAGGGCTTTTGTGACCAGATCTAGGAGCTCAGGATATTAAGGATAATTCTTCCTCACCATAAAATCTGAAATGATTTATGTTAAGAATCCAATTAGAGCCAGGAACAGTGGTGCACGCCTGTAATCCCAGTGGCTCGGGAGGCTGAGGTAGGAGGGTCACAAATTCAGACCCAGCCTCAGCAAAAGTGAGGCACTTAGCAACTCAGTGAGACCCTGTCTCTAAATAAAATACAAAATTGGGCTGGGGATGCGGCCGAGTGCCCCTGGGTTCAGTCCTCAGTACCCCGCCCCAGGAAAGAAATCCAGTTACTAGTGGTCAGTGTGAGACAAGGTGACTAGGGTTGTCATGGCCGTGGGGACTTGAAAGTCTGATGTCATCCTGCTGTCAATCAAAAGTCAAGAGGTGGACCTGGGTGGGACTTTCTGGAAACTTCTCTGGACTGCCCCAATAAAACTGGAGTGCAAGAGTGGCACGCTGTCCCTCTCCTCTCTGAGAGGAGCCCCTCTCCCTTGAGAGTGTCCCTGCTGCCCTTTTCTGCCCCTTTGATAAACTCATGCCCATTACTCTGAGTGACAAGCCTGAAATCTTTCTGACTTGATCACAAGACGCAGGGTTTGAGGCGGGGCAGGGGACGGTCCTTGAGCTGCCTCAGTGTGTGGAAGACCCCAGCTCTGTACAGAACCACCCACGTCGCCATGCCTTGTGACAGCCGCCTGAGCCGGGCCAGGACTGTCACCTCTGTAGCCACCTGCAGAGCCTGACAGAGCAGGGGTCTGGAGAAAAGACCCCAGGTAGTGGGGGGGGGGTGTGCCTGAACCCAGAGTGTCCCTGTCCCTTGGCCTCCCACCAGCCCCTTTGCCCTCTGGCCAAGCTGGACACAGCCATCTGTGCGGCCAGCTCAGGAGGCCAGAACACAGTGTGGGCTCCAGGCCGCAGGAAACATCAGGTAGGGGTGTCGCGAGGAGCACTGGCCGTCAGGTAGGGGTGGTGCCTCTCTGCATTGGCCGGCACAGACACGGCTGTCCAGCTGCCAGGGCTGGAAGTCCTCACTGCGCTCCACCCTGGATCCCTGGCCGCCTCCAGCTGGGCTGCCCTGCCCTCCCTCCTCCCCTCTCCACCAGAGTGACTAATAGCCCGCTCCCCTGGGTGTAGGCACGTCTGCTCCCAGGCCCTCCTGCCCCTGCACATCTGCATTGAATCCAGCATGACGCAGCGCAAGGGGGGGCCGTGGGGGAACATGGGGGCCGTGGGGGCTGTGGGGGCTGAGGGGGAACATGGGGGCTGTGGGGGCTGTGGGGGAACATGGGGGCTGTGGGGGCTGAGGGGGAACATGGGGGCCGTGGGGGCTGAGGGGGCTGAGGGGGAACATGGGGGCCGTGGGGGCCGAGGGGGCTGTGGGGACCGAGGGGGAACATGGGGGCCGTGGGGGCTGAGGGGTCCTTGGGGGCCATGGGGGCTGTGGGGGCTGAGGGGGAACATGGGGGCCGTGGGGGCTGAGGGGGCTGAGGGGGAACATGGGGGCCGTGGGGGCTGAGGGGGCTGTGGGGGCCGTGGGGGCTGAGGGGGAACATGGGGGCCATGGGGGCCGTGGCCGTGGGGGCTGAGGGGGCCGTGGGGCCGTGGGAGCTTTGGGGGCCATAGGGCCATGGGGACCGGGGGTTGTGGGGGTCAGGGGCCATGGGGGCAGTGGAGGCCGTGGGGCCGTGGGAGCCGTGGGCGCTGGGTAGGTAGCAGGGACTCTTCAGCTCATCCTGGGACCCAGCGGCTTCTCTGAACCAGAGGGATGATACACAATCTGCCTCTAGCTCTCCCTGTGGAGCATGCAGTAGGTGCCTAATGAATGCTTAGAGATGGGTGGCCAAAGCCCTCAGGACCTTCGGCTGGCGAGTGCTGGCCAGGTGGACATCCCGTGCCGAGGGGAGGGATCGCTTCTGTTTGCTTCGCTGGGAGCCATGGACACAGGGCTTGACCCTCAGCCACAGTCAAGAGTGCAGACTTGGAATGTGCTTCTCTGGGAAATGAGCCCCAGCGTCCCCGGCGTCTGGGGCTCCTGCAGGCCTTGCAGATGTTGGGGAAGAAGGAACACACATGGGTGTCCTGGAAATCCCTGGGTTCAGAGGTCCCAGTCCACTACAGCCCAGCTCCGAGAGAATGCCCAGCCCCTGGGGCCATGGCCGACCCCAGCCAGACTCTGCTGAGCCCTGAGACCACCTGAGTGCCCAGCAGAGGGCAGGGGCTCCAGCCTGGGCCATGGGGGATGGGCCAGTGTCAAGACACGGCCCACTGCCCATTGAGGAGGTGCAGCAGGCCCCAGGGCTGCACTGCAGGAGGATGGACTTAAGGATGGGTGGAGAGGAGGCTTGTGGGGCCACCAAGAGGGGCCACACTCCAACCCAGACCTCCCGGCACGTGCACACGCTTGGTCACAAACAGCAACTGAGTCAACCACGAGGCCTCACGGCCAGGAGCACAGAGGGACCGTGTGCGCAGAGCAGAACACATCAGCAATGAGGAAATCAGCCCTGTGGTCAGCCTGCCCAGTCGCAGCCCAGGGGCGGGCTGGAAACACCCCTCCGCCCTCTGTCTGCCGTGCTGATCTGACCACGCCGCGTGCCTGGCCTGCACAGCTCCGCTGCCCGATGCCCACACTGCACCGTCTCAGAGCGAGCCTCCTCTCTCAGGGAGGTCAGCCTGGCCTTGCTTTCACCTGTCCTGAGATTCCTTGTCACGATGACGACAAGGACCCTCATGGCCTGAGTTGAGGTCCATCTCCCTTCAGGGGACCTCCTCAGGACCCTTGCCCCTGGGACACAGCTGCTCCTCAACAGCACAGCAGAGGGCTGGGCCTTGCCGCAGAGTGACCAGGAGGTGGGCACCAGCTGCCCAGCAGGACAGAGGGTACCCAGTGGGGGGAGGGCCAGCCCAGTGTACCTGCCCACAGCTGTGGGATCCAGCTGCTGCCCTGTCCTCTGATGTCATCCTGCTCCACAGGTGACTCCCCCACCACATCACGCCTCCCCAGCCTCCCTCCCTGCCCCACCAGGCTGCCCCCACCTCTGCCCTCTACAAACCTGGGGTTGCCCCCGAGCCCGCACCCCTGTGGACCTCTGTAAAGTGGGAGGCCTGCCCTGTGCCGGGCTCTGCACCCCACACACCCTTGACCCACCGTCCCCAAGGACAGAGTCTGTGGGTCTTTGCTGGAGGTGCACGGTGGGGTGGGGGAGGGGCCCCCATCATGGGCACTTCGTGGACAGTGGCGGCTGCAGAGAACACAGGTGCACAGGACAGGTCCCGGCAGGGCAGCACACCACGCCATAACGGCCACAGAGCAGGAGGGCGTGGTGGGCAGTGGGGACCCCAAAGTGAGCAGGCACCCCATCCCTGAAGGGCCATTGCTCCACGTACGCTCGTGTCTTTTCCTTCTCCCTTGACCTCGCCAACATCTGACCGATTTCCCCCCAAACACGTGCCATCCGTTTCTCTCTGTGTGACAGTCATGACTTGATCCCTTCACAGGTCATCTTTGAGCATGCGTGACTTGGGACCGTGAGAGCTCCTGGGTATGAGGCGGCCCCTTGGAGCAGATCTGCGCCCCTGCCCAGTCCTACTTACTCACGATTTCAGAAAGTCAACAAGTCAAAGTGCTCGCAGAGGAACAGGCTCAGGTCCCACAAGGCGTGTCAGCGTTAAACCAAAAGGGAACTGGCCCTGTGAGCAGGCTGGTTCTGGTCTGGGGGCCCCGGATGTGCGGCCTGTGGAGGAGACACACGCGGGTGAGCTCAGGAAACAGCGGTGCCAGCACAGGAAGGCCACTGCAAATGGGGGTCGGTCCGAGTCCCTTCAGGATGTGGCCGTGGGTTTACCCTGCGCCATGGCTGCCCCCCGTTTCCCCATTGGCTGTAGCCCTAGGCAGTGGCCAGCCGAGGCTCTGCCCCTGTAGCTGGGCATCCCCAGCCCCCCGCCTCGTGCCAGCCTGCACATCCTCACGCCCACAGCCAGCCCCCGCCCCTTCCCACCAGCAACGGCAACAACAGCAGTCACCATTCTAGGGTCCAAGTGACAGGCTGGGCTTGGGGGGCCCTGCAGGCCTGCAGAACCTCAGCCTGAGTGCCCAGGGTTGTGCCCTTTCCTCTCGAGGACGCCTGTCCCAGGGTGTGCAGCTGACCGCCTCGGTCATCCTTACAGCTGCAGGCCTGGTGTCCTGAGGCCGATGAGCCGTTGACCCCTGCCTCCCGAAGCCCCACCGAGCATTCTGCTCAGAAAGGGACTGGCCACCCAAATATCTAGCGGTTGCTGCTCTGAGCCCAGCAGCCCTGAACCGGCAGGGGGTGGCCTAAAACGGTGTGCGGGTGGCTGGCCAAGCACCTGTGCTGTGGCTGCTGTCCCCCCCTGAGCCGGCCACGCACCTGCCCGCTCCGCTCCTCTGGGGGCGTCTCCACCCCCAGGAAAGAATGGGGCCCTCTGAGCAGGGAGCTGTGGCTGGGGAGGTGTCACTCCTCCGGTCCTTTGTCAGGCTTCGGCTTGGGAGGCAACAGTAGCCGGGCCACATGTAGAACAGCCACCACCTGCAGCCCGGGGACAGAGGGCTCAGGCACAGCGTGCATCCAGGGACACGGAGGCATGGCTCAGACCAGGGCTTCTCACCTGCGGTGACTTTGAATTCCAGAGGATCCTTGGCAGACTCCAGAGACGCTTCACGTTGTCACTCTAGTCCGGTGGCAGTGGGGACGCTGTTCACACCTGCATGCACTTATCCTCTGTGTCCCTCCTCCATCCCTCCTCCATCCTGCCCTCCTGTCCTGGGAGGCACAGGTTTGCTCCTGGAGCTTAAGGACGGACCCCAGAGGACACAGTGCCAGTGACCACATCAAGGGTGCACGCCCAGCTCAGCGCCACACCTGCTAGCCCTGAGGACCTGAAGGGTGTCAGGCTGGTGACTCCTGGGGCTCCCTGCTGACTGGACCTCCTGCAGAGGCCCTGGGGTCCTGACACCGAGCCTTGGGCATGGAAGGACTGGGGCCTCAGGTCAGGTTTGCTGGAGACAAGGGCTTCAAGGGGCCTGAGGCCCTGGGAGCTGGGTGGGTGCCTGAGAGGAGGGGCCACCAGGGCTGGTGAATGGACCCTGAGAAGGGCCACAACAGGGCCTCTCGGAGAGCCAGAGAGGGAGAAGGGAGGGTAGTGGAGGCCGGCTGTAGAGGAGGCCCAGCCGTGGGAGGCCGGGGCCTACGGAAGCCCTCCTGCACACCCGGGCTTCCCAGGACGGACAGGCTCTGGCAGGTCGTCTGGAGTTGTGTCCGACCACTCAGGAGTCAGGAGATCGGGGAAGAAGGTTCCCCATCCTGTTCCACCTGCAGGGTCAGGCCACCCACTCACCTCCAGGGGAAACAGGCATGACTCAGAGCCCAGGCCTCTGCCCACACTGGTGGCAGTTACCCACAGCCCACAGCTGGCAGGTCTCAGACCGTTAAGAACGGAGCCCTCGGCTCGCCCACTGGCTGGGAGTAGTGGTCACTTCAGGAGAGGATCCTGCCCCCAGGCTGCTCCTCAGGGCAGCAGGGCTCCGCTTGCCCGGCACCCTGTCCCTTGGCCAACACCCTTCCAGGATACACCCTTGGTGCCCGTGTGGCCTGGGAAGTGGGACCTGTGCAGACAAGTCCTCGGGTGGGGGAGGCCCGCAGGAGCCAGGGCCTGGCAGCCCACGGCAGCATCCTCACCTGGAGAAAGAGCGTCTCCAGGTGCACCCCCCACCCACAGGAAGTAGAGGACAGGAAGGAGCATTCCTTGGTGATGGGCACCTCCATCGATTCAGGGAGGAAGAGATTTCTTCCTTCCGCTCGTTTACTCATTGGCTTTGGTCGGTGCTTTGCAGACGTGCATGAGGGTAGGCGTCTACACGTGCACAGCCAGGTCTTGTCACGGTCCTCTGCATCTCCTCCCCTCCCCTGTCCTCCCCCTCCCTCTGTCCCATGGGCTCCCCTCTGGGCCACTCTGCCCGCTCTCCCCCTCCCTGGTCAGCCTTCTGCCTGGCCTTGACTCTCCGGGTCTGGCTCATGTCACTCAGCATGACCTTCTCCAGCTCTGTCCATCACCGGCCACAGACCTTAGGAGGAGCCCCTGTCCCCATCTGGGGCATGGTGGACGGGCCATGTTCCTGCCTGCCAAGGGAGACTTTGCCCTGGCTGCCCTCCCACCCTCCTCCACGGGCCTGTCCTGCCCTGGGGAGAAACATTCCGGTGTCTCGTCAGCCCCTGGGCCACGTCTTCTGGTGACAACGTCTGACATGCCATGTCTCTCTCTTGCAGGCGAGGAGTGTGGATGCTGCCGTCACCTGTGTTCCCGACCCCAGACAGGGCGTGTGAGTCGTGAATGAAGGAGGGATGCGGGGGACCAGCACCCAGCCCGCCAGCTGTCTCTCCTCTTCCAGAGCCTGGTCCCCAACAGCACCTGGTGTGACTGACTGCTGCCTGGCCCTACCCGCCCCCGCCGCCGGCTCGGCATTCTGAGCGAGGGGCGAGCGCTGCATGATGAATGGCTGCAGAGCAAGGGGCACTGGCCAACGAGGGGAGGCCAGGTGCCACGGCAGGACGGTCTCAGAGAAGGGAGGTGTGCCTGGTCCTGGGCCCATACGACCCATGTGGGGGCCCCAGATGACAGTGTTGACACTAGACACCATTAAAAAAGTGTTTTAACCAACCAGGTGAAATTCTCTTTGTTAAAAGGAGCCATGTGATCCAAGCCACAAGATTTACATGTCCAGAGCTGAGGGCTGCTAGGCTCTGGCAGTTCCCCCAGGGGACTGCACAAGGCCAGGGAGCTCTTGGAGGCTGGCTGATGTGGCACAGCTTTGGGGAGCATTAGGAAAATAGTCACTCAACAGCCACTAACACAGAGACTGCCAGGCGCAGTGGTGCACGCCTGTTACCCAGTGGCCTGGGAGTTGGGCCAGCTTCAACAACTCAGTGAGCCCCTGATCAAATTAGTGAGACCCTGTCTCTAATTAAAAACAAATAAGGGCTGGGGACGTGGCTTAGTAGTAAAGCACCCTGGGTTCAATCCCCAGTACCAAAAAAAAAAAAAAATCCCATAGATGTGGACACCTCCTTCGAGGACCTTGCCAATAAGCCACGGCCCTATGGAAAGTTTGCTGTTCACGGAAAATGCCCTCGGCCACCTTGTGCTGGGGACTCTGGACAGACAGTGTTCCATGAGGCAGGACTTACTGCAGGTGACCTGGAGAGGTCCAGGGCTCAGAGTGGGGCCTCAAGGCCAGGATGCAGCCTGCGCTGGACCCCGCTCTCCAAAACCCAACCTAACACTGCACCCTGCTTGCAGGGTCTGCGGGTCCGCCAGCCGCTGTGGGCCACTCTCCAGGGTCCTATACTGCGTTTGTGAGCTGCCAGCTGTTTCAGGAACACACGGTGTCACCGTGTCACTGCTTGGGCTCTGGGCAGGGCAGGACAAGGTGACACTGGGGAGAGCACACCTGGTTTGTAGCAGGCGCAGGCTGAGCATGGCAGGACTCTGGCCTCGCTGGTCTCACACTGTCACCGAGCTCTGGTCTGACCGGATTCGGTTCCTGCTTTGGGTCACAAACGGGTCAGGTGAACTCACTTCTGGTCAGTAAATTCAGGGGTGGGCCTATGCTCGTTGCGGGAAGCGGCCCACATGGTCATGTTGTTGTGGGTCTGCCAGGAGTGGGCACAGCATACAGTTCCAATGCCCAGGTCGCACTCGGGACCTTCAGTATTGTGCAGGGGTGAAACTTTGCTGAGCCCCCAGGTCGTCCTGAATGACCCCAGTGTGTCCTGCCAGTTTCTCCTGCTCAGAGCAGGCGGCACCTGGAGCCAGGCCGAGCAGCAGGTGGACCTAGCACCTGTGGATCCCTCAGAAAGGACTGATCCCACTGTGCCACGGGGCATGGGTGGAGCAGTCGCCCTGGTGCTACACCTCTGTGCCTCCCAGCCTGCAGGACAGGACCCGCCACCATGCCATGCAAACCAAATGCCCACGTTGGCGTGTGGCTGAAGACCTGGAGGCTCAATGGAGGAGGCTGGGGCATCCACAGGGACAGAGCGGTCAGACTGCGTGGGGAGGAGGGGCCGCCTGCCGCAGGGGCACGGCTGCCTGCTGGGGCGTGAGCTGAACGCCCAGTCCTCCCTCCTCCGCCCAGGCCAAGGCCAGGCCTGGGCACGGTTCTCGAAGGTCCTTCTTACCTGAATAGCTCCGTCTCTTGTGAGAAGGGAGGTCATGGTGGGTCTGTGGACATCAGGGGGCCGTCTTGGGGCTGCAGGCTTTTCTGAATTTGATACAAACAATTAAAAAGCCAGTCTGACTGACTCAGCCACATCCTGTGACGGGCCATGGTCTCCTCTAAACCTTAACCCACTGGGCAGCTCTGCCTGGGCCCTGGCTGGCGGCCTGCTTGCTAATGCACACGGTCTGTAGGTGACCCTACGGACAGGCTGACCCACCAACCCGCCCTGGGAAGCGGTGTCTCCCCCACACCCCAGAATGTGGCTGGACATCCTGGACAGGCCATCCCTTGGGCCTGTGTGGGCAGCCCCAGGGCATCTGTCCTCTGCAGGCCTCAGCAAGGGATGCAGAGACAGCACGTGGCTGGGAACGTGGCCACTGCTCGGCCCCATCAACCCTCCATAGCCACCGTCACTTTGTAGCACACCCTCTGCAACCCTCTCTGAGCTGGTCAGTGTGGCCCTGCCTGGTCTGCAAAGAGGGGCCTCTTCCTCTTGGGGTCGGTCGTGGGGTCCCTGTCCCTGCGTGTGGGAACTGGGGCTTGCCTGTCTCCCCCTCTGCTGGCTTCGGGGCCCTCCCTGGGAACCTTCTCCACAGGGTCCTGGGGTGACGACTGCTTGGGTAAGACAGTGTCGGTTCCTCTTTTAGGCTCCTAAAGCAGACAGGAAGTCAGGACGTCATTTTAACTAAACGTCTGCTGCTTTTTCCTCTTAGAGGCCGGGTTCTGTCGCGGTTCTCCACGGGGCGGCTGGTGGGTGCTTGTCAAGGACCACTCTGGTCCACACGAATGTCCATCAGGGGTAAGGCCCACCGCAGAGCAGCCTCTGCCTCCCGGAGGCCCAGGACCCTGCCCCACAGGCAGATCGGTTGGCGCTCGTTCCTGAGTGGACAGCCCAGCTGTGCCGGGGACGAGGCCAGCGGCCTGCCTGGAGCAGACCCACGTGAAACGCCAGGCAGGTGCCACGCTCATGGTCCTGAACTTCAGTCCTGACTCTTCATCATGAGAACCCAAGCCGACTCCCTACACAGGGCGTGGTGGCCTCCCTGTGACCCAAGCCTTGGCCCTGCCCCAGCCTGGCCTCCGTGACTGACAGCTCTTCAGTGGGCCTTCGGGGGCTCCTGCTGCCCCAGGGAGCTCAGCAGGCCGTGACTCCATCAGGAGTGGCGCCCTGCCAGCCGTCCCCGGCCGACTGCCCACAGGAAGCTTCAGGCCTGGTGTTCCAGGGCCCAGCTGCACTCCAGACGCCCACTCTGTCCCCTTCCCTCCTGGTCCCCGCAGAGGACAAACTAAGGTAAAGACTCGGACACGGTTCCCCTCTTCCTAAACAGGCGCCGTGATGCAGGGGAAGCCTTTCTTTTCCTTTCAAATGAGGTACTTTTACCAGAAAGCGAACAGAGAGGCTAAGCATTCAGCAAAGCGAAAGCCCAGCCTGCCAGGACTTGATGAACCCGCAGGCGGAGACCGCGGTGCCACTGGAAGTCGGAGGTGCTGCACCCTGTGCCCATGGCCTGGCGGGACCTTGCGAGGCAGCAGTGGGGGGACACCATGGGAAAGTCCCCAGTCTCACACAGCAACACAGTAGCATCGAGTGACCCTCTCTCCCATAGCAGGTGGTCACAGCAGCCAGACCTGGACCTCCACAGCTATGGCCCAGTCCACCAGAGCCACCAACCTGGTAGTCCTGGTCTCCGGTGGTTGCCGTAGCAGCCCAGGGTCACAGACCCAGCACAGCACACCCCTGCCTTGTGGCCCCTAGGACTGCAGCTCACAGCCCCAACCACGGAAGCCCTCAGGCTCCGGGCCTCCCAGGGCCCCGCAGCACACCCGCCCTCCTCCAGGGGCTCCTCCCCACACACCCACACTCCTCCAGGGACTCCTCCCCACACACCCACCCTCCTCCAGGGAATCCTCCCCACACACCCACCCTCCTCCAGGGGCTCCTCCCCACACACCCACACTCCTCCAGGGACTCCTCCCACACACCCACACTCCTCCAGGGACTCCTCCCCACACACCCACACTCCTCCAGGGACTCCTCCCCACACACCCACCCTCCTCCAGGGACTCCTCCACACACACCCACACTCCTCCAGGGACTCCTCCACACACACCCACCCTCCTCCAGGGGATCCTCCCCACACACCCACCCTCCTCCAGGGGATCCTCCCCACACACCCACACTCCTCCAGGGGATCCTCCCCACACACCCACCCTCCTCCAGGGACTCCTCCCCACACACCCACCCTCCTCCAGGGACTCCTCCCACACACCCACCCTCCTCCAGGGACTCCTCCCCACACACCCACCCTCCTCCAGGGACTCCTCCACACACACCCACACTCCTCCAGGGACTCCTCCACACACACCCACCCTCCTCCAGGGACTCCTCCACACACACCCACCCTCCTCCAGGGGATCCTCCCCACACACCCACCCTCCTCCAGGGACTCCTCCCCACACACCCACCCTCCTCCAGGGACTCCTCCACACACACCCACACTCCTCCAGGGACTCCTCCACACACACCCACCCTCCTCCAGGGACTCCTCCACACACACCCACACTCCTCCAGGGACTCCTCCCCACACACCCACACTCCTCCAGGGACTCCTCCCACACACCCACACTCCTCCAGGGACTCCTCCCACACACCCACCCTCCTCCAGGGGATCCTCCCCACACACCCACACTCCTCCAGGGACTCCTCCCCACACACCCACCCTCCTCCAGGGGATCCTCCCCACACACCCACACTCCTCCAGGGGATCCTCCCCACACACCCACACTCCTCCAGGGACTCCTCCCACACACCCACACTCCTCCAGGGAATCCTCCCCACACACCCACTCTCCTCCAGGGGCTCCGCCCAGAGCCTGATTCCTAGGGCACCTGGCACCCGCGTCTGTCCTGATGGTCCCACTTCACTGACAAGGGTGGAGGGATGGTCAGATCAAGGCCCTGTCCTCCTGGACTCCATGTTGCTTTGACAGTTGGTCTGATTTCCAAAGTGACCTTTCCTCTGAAGTCTACCAGGGGCTCTGACGTCTAGGCTCTGCGGTCTGCAATCAAGTCTGCATCAGACTCTCCCTCTGGGCCAGGGCTGCTGACCTCTGTGGCCGGGGTGCAGGTGGCCCTCAGGCTCCTTGCTGTTGCTGGTGTGGGGCTGTGGGGGTGGGTGGCCGTGGGTGGGAGGTGGTGGCATCCGGCAGAGCAGGGCTGGAAGGGGCTGGGTGGGCCTGCTGGACCCGAGGCCGGAGCCCAGCCGGGGGGCAGAGCTGGGAGCCTGCTGCCCGCGGTATTCCCCAGCTGTTTCCTATTGATCGTGTCTGGTCAGTTTTTGCTGCTGTGACCAAAAGACCTGTCAAGAACAGTTGTGGAGGAGGAAAGGCCCATTTCGGGGCTCAGGGTTTCAGAAGTCTCCGTCCACAGACAGCAGGCTCCATTCCTTGGGGCTCAAGATGAGGGGGACTTCTTGCCGCAGAGTGAGGTGGAGGGAGGGGGCTCACGTGATGATCAGAGCAGAGAGAGGCTCCGCTCGCCAGAACAGATCTGTACCCCGTGGCCCCCCAGGGCCCTCCTCCTGCAGCCACACCCCCTGCCTCCAGTGACCACTCAGCGAGTCCCACCAAGGACCCATCACTGGGGGGGTCAGGCTCAGTCATTTCTCCCCAGACCCTCGCACGTGTTTCACACACGGGCTTTTGAGGGAGCCTCACATCAAACCATAACAGATTGATTGTTTGATCATTGATACTTGGAAGTAAACCTGGGGTACTGTACCCTGAGCCATGTCCCTCCCCCTGGCCCTTTTCAGTTCTGAGTCAGGGCCTCACTAAGTTGCTGAGGCTGGCTTTGAACTCACGATCCTGCCTCAGCCTCCAGAGCGGCTGGGATCACAGGTGTGGGCCACGGTTTAGTCGGCTTCTTCATCACTGTGACCCAAAGGCCCAGGAGAGCCCTGGGAAGAGGGAGACTCATCTTGGCTCAGAGTCAGAGGTCGTCCATGGTCGGCTGACTCCACGGCCTTGGGCCTGACCTCGTGGCAGAGGGTGTGGTGGGGGACAGCAGCTCAGGACATGGCAACAGGGGACAGAGCTCTCTGCCCATCAGGGACAAAATACAAACCCCAGAGCACACCCCAGGGACTCTCCTGCCTGCAGCGCCCACCCAGCAGGTCCTATGGGGTAACCCGGGCTCCCCGCCCTGCCGCCTGCCCGGTCTCGCACGGGCTTCCGGGCAGTCCACAGCAGCACCGCACCCCTCACGCTGCGTGGCCTTCATGGCCAGCGCTTGTCTAGCAGGGCCTCGCTGCCTGTACTCTGCCGCAGCGACTTTCCTCTGAACCTCAGCTGGCCACGTCCATCCTCCCTGCGCTGTGGTTCACGTCCTCAGGGGGAGGCTGGCCCTGCAGGAGGCCTCCCCAGGGTGAGCACTGTCCCCTCCCAAGGGGGATGGTGGCAGGAGAACCCCTCCCAGGACTTGGCCCGCCCGTGGCTCTGAAGACAAGCGGACCTGGAGGAGCAGCTGCTGGGTTCTCGGACACAGACCCACCTCCCCTGGGACGGGGGTCGTTCTCCACCACACTTCTCACGAGAGCCCGGTCGGCACTCCCCGGACGAAGACAGGACCACTGGAAGACTGTCCAGGAGGCGGCCAGCAGGGGCACCTCCACAGCCACCCCGGGGGCCCAGGGTGTGGGAGCTCCCTGAGGATGTACCCAAGGGGCAGGGCAGCAGGGACGTCTGACCCTTGGAGTTGGCACAGTGCTGACCAGAATTCCACGAAAGGCCACGGCCCTCGGCTCCTGGCATCGCTGGCTGATGGAGGTGGCCGGGGCGGGTACCAGGACAAGGTCACTCCCTAATCCAGGCGCGCGGCCGCCTCCTCCTTAGCAGCCCTCTTGTTGAAGGACGGCTGGAGGGAGATAAAGCAGGCCCACAGCCGTCCCCAGGGTGCCAACTGTGGGAGTCCCAGCCCACCTATGGGCAGAGCCAGGAGGGGCAGAGCCCTCTCTTGAGATGCCAGGCCTGGCCAGCTGTACCGGACCACGGCTGCCCTCCCGGGGTGCGGCCTCTGTGCCGCCCCCAGCTCCAGAACCCTGCTTCATGACACTGGTGTGTGGCACACTCAGGGCCACAGGGCCTGCTCTGTCTTGCCCTGAGCTGGACCACCCTGGCCCGCCGCGGCGCCACCTTCCTACTGTGTGCTTCTGCACCCCTACTGCGTGCAGGGCAGTGCGGCTGGCGCAGGAACCACAGACGTCCTCCAGGGGTGGGGCTTTCCAAGGTAGAGGGCAGTGGAGGGCCCCGGGGCCAGCTTCTTTCTGAGCTCCACGTGATGATGCCAGGGGCCCAGGCTCCAGGTTCCAGGCAGGGGGTCAGGAGGCCCCCTGACCCAGGACGTTGCCTGTGCTCGGCTGTTAACCATGCCACCTCCCCAGCCCCAGCGCTGGCTGTGGCAGGTCCTCTCCGCCAGGCCCCTGAGGCCGCCGGGCCCGCCTGCCCTGCCCACCACAGCAAGGAGACCTGGGGAACAGGGACTGTGCTGTCAGACAGTCGGGCTGCACCCCGGCTGCTGCTCCTCAGAGGCCAGCGACGGCCCCTGTGTGACCACCCACTGTCCCCTGGAGCAGAGCCACAGTGCAGGGGCCAGGCCCTTGGAGCAGTGACAGGGACACAAGGCCGGCCCTGCCCAGATTCAAGACAGCTGGGCTGACAAACACTGTGGGCGAGGGCACAGCTGGCACCTTGCTTCCCTGGTGTCGGGTTTCTGGAGATCAGGGCGCCGGGACCAGCCTGGCGACCCCAGACAAGGCGCTAACAGCCATGTTGAGGCCGGGAGGGGCAAGGGTGGCCAGTGGCCTCCCACAGAGTGCTGGGCCATCCCCAGGCACCCAGGGGCAGCCCGCGGAAGATGAGAGGAGAGGGAGGGCTCAGGTGGAGGGCCTGCGGGCAGCAGGGAGATGATGACCAGTCTGCCCAGAGCCCAGGGTCCAGGCAGAATTCAGAGGCTCGGGCGAGAGCAGCCATCGGGGCCCAGCTGGCCATGGTGAGGAGGCAGGAACACCTGAAGCCAGACTCAGTCTCCCTGCTGACTGTCACCATCCTGTCCCTGGCCCTCAAGCCTCTCTAGGGACGCCCAAGGTCTCCTTCGGGACAGGCCAGCGGGGCTCAAGGCTGAAGGGAGGCCCAGCTTCCCAGGCGTCTTTCCCAGGGCCCTCGGTCACGCACGGGCACTGCGCCCAGCTCCCCACAGCCCTTCCACCCCCAGCAGCTCCTGTGCTTCAGCCCGGAGTCGGCCGGCCATAATGAAGACATCGTCACCTCTTTTTGCAATACTGCCCCGAGCTGCACCCCAGCCCGTTTTAATTTCATTTTGAGAGAGGGTCTCACTAAGTTGCTGGCCTGGAACGTGGGGTCCTCCTGCTTCAGCCCCTGAGTCACGGAGCTCAAGGCGTCCCACCCGGCTTCCTTATTCTTTCACAGTGGACACACTCCCTAACGCTTCTGCTGAAGTGTGGGTGGCTCCGTCACCATGCTCTGTGACAAGCCTGTGAGCACCAGGGGGTGGGGTGGGGACAGAAAAACACTAGTTCTCACAAGTGTGAGGCCTTGTTCTGCCTGGGTGAGAAGTGCACCCCTTAAACACCTGTTAGCACCCAGCGACCATGGACGTGACACACAGGCCCTGACCACGGGGGCTGTTGGGGGGCTCTGGGCAGGAGGAGGGCGGGCATTCGCCCACAGCCAGGGGTCAGACCTGTGTCTCAGGGGATGGTGCACGCCTGGTTCACCTGGAAGTGCGCACACACACACACAGGTGTGCCCCTAGGCCCCCTGGAAATAGCGGCCTGCTGTATCCATTCTGGACCAGCACACAGAGGCTGCCCTGGGAGGCTTGGTCAGGGCTGATGCCTGTCATGGAGTGGCCTGTCGGGCTGCAGAAACTGGCACTGGACAGGAGGCCTCACACTGTGGAGTCCTGCAGGGAGGCGGGGGGACTCTGAGGGAACTGCTGCTGGAATGTGACAGACCTCGTGGCCGGCAGGGGACCTCAGCCTCCACTGGGCAGTCCTGCAGGACTCTGATGGTCACTGGGGTGCAGCCCACCTCGGCTGCTCGTGTGTTTTTAGTGCTGAGTGGGGAGGGGAGAGGGACAGGTCCCTGTACCCAGCGTAGCGGCAGGTCCAGGAGGCTCTGGAGCACACCACCTTTGTGTCTCTTGAGGAGGACGATGGCGCCTTTGACAAAACAGGCAAGATCCAGTGTTCTTTCCACAGGGATCCCAGAGGAGAGCAAAGTCCAGCGGGTCTCCTGGGGCTTCCGGCATGGCCACTTCCCGCACGCATGCACACAGGTGTGCACACACACACGCACACTACACGGGAGCTCCTGGCAGGGCAGCAGCTGGTAGGCCCTGGGTCAGGTCTCCTGCAAACACCCTCAATGCTCCCGCGGTCACAGAGGTCATCCTGTAAGGGCAGGTACGCGTTCCTCCTTCCAAACCAAACGCCCTTCCTTGGCTCTCAGGAACCCCTGTGCCCCGTGAGGCCTGTGCCTGGTTCCTGGTTTGGGAGGAGCCTGGTGCTGAAGCGCAGAGGCTCAGCGGGCTCCTGGGCACTTGTGTGCCAGTGCTGCTGCCCTGTTGGGAAGGACCTCGCTCTGGGTGGGGCAGTGTCTGAGGCTTCTCCCCAGGGTCAGCCTCTTGGGCCCCTCCTGGCCAGGTGGATCCTGTCCTGGCAGACAACATGGGCAGGTGGCTCACTGTCCCCTTTGTCACCAAGCTGTGTATGATGTCCACCCAGTGGCACTTCATAGAAACCCTGTCCCCATCCTGGGCAGTGAGTTCCTGTCAAACATGGTCTTGGAGGGAAAGAGAAGAGAGGGACGTGAGGCACTGGCACCTCCTTTGGTTTCTCGCAGTGCTGGGGACTGAACCCAGGGCTTCTCACGAGCCAGGCAGGCACCCTGCCACCAACCCGTGCCCAGCCTTCCTTCTCATCCTGAAGGCAAAGAGACCCATCTCCCCAGGACCCAGGAAGACCCTGGAAACTGGGGATGGCTGCTTCAGGAGGCAGCTAACACCACGGGTGGCCTTAGAATTCTAGCAAGTTCTGTTCCAAGATGACCTGGAGTTGCTTGGCACAGCCTGGGGTTCCCTGCAGAGCCAGCCATCACACAGCTCAGGTCCCTGGGCCCCGGGTAAGAGACCCAGGTAAGGAGACATGCAGCCACCGCCTCAGGCAGAGCCCCTGGCCCCTGGTCCAAGCTCCTGCCTGGGGCTGTAGCCCCCCACACCGAGCTCTTCCTAAGCTGGGAATCCACCTCTACTGCTGCTCCTGAGACCAGGGTCACCAGGTCCACAGGGCCACAGAGCTGCCTGCAGGCCACAGTCCCAGCTAGGGAGGGGCCAGGGACACACAAACTCCAGGCAGTGCAGAGGGTAGGGAAGGACCTGGGTCATTGGCTGGACCCTGCTGTGTGTAGTTTGGAAGTTTCTGTCATGTGTGGCATCAGGAAGAGCACACAGGGACAGGTCCTGGCGCTGAGGGAGCCAACAGGAAATGCCAGGTGCACCTTTGCAATCTCCCCGCATTTCCAGGACCATCAGGTGCTAGGGCAAACAACTGAGGTTCTGAGGGCGTGAAGGTGCCCCAGCCGTGCCCGCCTGGCGGTCCCTCGAACTGTGTTCTCTGGGGGCAACTCACCTGTGGGCTCTTCCTCCTACTGCACGAACCTTGCACCTGTGGGATGAGTCAGAGAGACCCAGGTGGCATGGAAGACGGGCAGGCACTCTAAAGACCCCAATGGTCCAGGCTCACAGCAGCCCCACCCTCTGCCCAGTCATTGCCCCAGGTCTTGCTCTGGGCAGGGAGTGGACTCCGAGGCCCCTGCTTTTGAGGGAAGATGCTCTTTCCGGGCACGTGTGTGTCCTGGCTCAGGGGCCCTGTGACAGCCTGCCTGGGCCAGCAGGGGGACTGTGGGCATGGAAAGTGTTTCGGGTGGCCACAACTGGGAACCCCTGGAAGCAGCTGCAAGGGTCTCTTCCATGGGGCCAGTACTGGGCTCCACCAACCGTTTCCCCTTCCTCTGCCCTCCTGGGCGAGCAGGCAGGGCCTCTACGTGGCCATCGGGGCAGTCCTGTGGCCTGCAGCTTCTGAGACTCCATCTCACCCTCGGGATCTCTCCTCCCGCAGCACAGGACCCAGCCAGCCAGCCTTGCCAGTGACTTGGTGGCCGCGGTCAGCCTTCCCAGAAATCAACCCTATCGCAGTCTCTAACTTGGAATCCGTCATTCCCCATGCAGCTGGGAGTGGCGGCTTCCCGGCTGCCCCTGGGGTTGGCCCTGTCAGGAACATGGCCCCTAAGAGATGGCCGGCCTCTCACCCACCTCCTGGGGGCTGGGTAAGGCTTTTAAATGAAACCCACATTTCCGAATTCTGGAAGCGGACAGCTGGGCCTCGTGCGCACCTGTATAGCTGCGACGGGGACACCTGGTTCTGCACAGGCAGCCTGTGGCCACAGCCACGATCACCATCACCAGCAGGATGGCAAGGGTGTTGACGACGGCCGCACTCCCCTCCTGTTGGGGACGCACTGGGCTGTCTGTCACCATGGCTTCAGGTCCAATGAAGGTCTCTGTGAGGAGGACAGAAACAGCCATGGCTGGAGGGTCCCAGAGGAGAGGGTCTTTTCATCCCCTAAGAGTGAGCCCTGCAGGGGAGTGCTCCCAGGGACCGGCACGGGGCGGTCAGCTGTTCCTTACAGTGGGGCTCCCCGGCAGGCCCAGCCCTGACACAGGGCCCTCGAGGGGCTTCTTAAATGGAGGTGAGATTCACATTCCATGGACCCTTCCACAGTGGGCGGGTCAGTACTGTCGAGTGCTCACGGCATGGGGCAGCAGCCTTCCAAGGAAACCTGGTACCCACGGGCAGCCCCTCCTGCTTTCCCCTGTGCCCCACTCCTGGCCCCTCCACTCCCCTGGCGGAGCACCGCCTGCTCTGGGTCCTTTCTGTGAAGGGACCATACCACGTGTGGCCTCTGCGGACCAGCTTTGGCCACACGGGCACGATGTCCAGGGTTCACCACATGCAGCCTGTGTCAGCACCTCATCCTTTTTACAGCTAAGTAACACTCCGTCATGTGATGGCCACGCAGTGTCCAGCCAGCCATCTCTGATGGGTGTTTGGGGCCCTGTGGCTGTTGTGAAGCGTGCTGGGTGTCCACAGGCACTCGCCTGAGTCCCTGTCCTGGGCAGATATGAAATGGAACCGCTGGCCACCAGTCTGCCTTCGTCAGCAGTGTACGAGGCCCTGCCCGCCGTCCTGGCCCGTCAGAGGGTGGTTCTCACAGGGAAGTCAGCAATGCCATCCAGGGGCGCTGGATACAGATGCCAATGTGTCTCCAACACCAGAGAACCATGCCCTCAACCACAGGTTGCCCTGAATGTGACTCAGGGTCACCTAGAAGCTTTGTAACACTATCTTAGTGGGGTGGCACACTCCTATAATCCTAAAGACTAGAGAGGCTGAACAGGAGGGTGGCAAGTTTGAAGCCAGCCTGGGCAACACCCTGTCTCACATTAAAAAATACAGTCTATAGTTCCAGCAGCTCAGGAGGCTGAGGCAGGAAGATCATGAGTTCAAAGCCAGTCTTAGCAACTTACCGAGTCCCTAAGCAACTCAGTGAGGCCCTGTCTCTAAATAAAATGCAAAATAGGGCTGGGGATGTGGCTCGGTGGCAAAGCGCCCCTGGGTTCAATGCTCAGGACTATAAGCAAAACAAAACAAAACAAAAAAACATTGTCCTGCGGCCAGATGCCAGGGTCCGGGCTGGGCTCCAGGTGACCCACTGCACAGCTGAATCTGAGCTTGCGAGAGCCCTGGGCTCCACCTGCCCGGGCTGCCTGGCAGGAGGCAGCGGCCAGAAGCTGTTGGTGCTGCCCTCATCCTGCTCCAGGGGGGCCCAAACGGTGCGCATGAGTCAAGGGGCTGCAGCCAGATTCTGAGGGAGGAAGGAGGAGCCTGCTGGGTGCTGGTGGTCAGGGCCGCTCCACCAGCTTGGGCCTGGGCAGCCCAGGCCCCACTCAGCGGCCTGCACTGCTCTGACATTCACCTGCGTTTCCACTTTCACTGAACCTGCAGGGTACGTAGCAGATCCTGTTGGTGGCACCCCTTTCCTGCAGCTGGCAGGGCCCACAGAGTCTAGGCTGCAGCATCTCCCACCTCCACCTTCTGTGTCCCATCTGACGGTGGTGACAGGGACACAGACTGGGAGAGCCTGCACCCCAAGCACAGGAGGACCCGGCCAGCAGCGAGGCCCAGCCCAGTTCCCCGTGTGGGGGCTCATTCTTCTCAGGGACCTCAGGGGCATGTGCCCGGGGCAGAGGGCTTGGGGCTGCACAGGGGTGGCTCCACCCTGGCCAGCTGCCGCCTAGTTTTGTGGCTTCTGAAGTGTCACACAGTCCTTTCGGAGCCTCAGTCCTGCTGGCCACGCAGCTCTGCAGGTGACGCTGAAGCTGGGGAGGGCAGGGCAGTGTCCTCTGCTCTGAAACCGCGGGTTTCCCCGTCACCACCACCTGCCCTCACCTCCTTCCTCTCAGCCACCTTTCTGACGCCACTGCAGGGTCCCCTGTAGGGCCTGCTCCGGTCCCCACAACCCCCCCCCCCCCGGGCCTCACCTGTCCCCGTGAGGTTCTGGTGCAGAAGCGCATTCTCTATGCAGCAGCCGACGTTCACGCTGGGCGCCCAAGGGACCCTCAGGACGCTGACCACATCGTACAAGCCCCGCTGGTTCAGGGAGACCGTGTCGTTGTGCAGGGCCTTGTCCAGCTGGCTGTTGTCCGTCTTGTTGATCCAGTGCACGCTGGGCCTCGGGTAGCCGTCTGTAGACACGCAGGTGAAGGTGAGCTCCTGCTCTGCAGAGGGACGGCTGGGCGTGCTGACCACCGGCATGCTGTAGTTGGCTGCAGGGGAGGGAAGGGGGGTGAGGGAGGCCAGGTTCTGCACCTCAAGATGCGGAGGGTGCAGGTGCCAAGGGCCAGGGCTGGAGAAGGTGGCCCCTGTGGCCCACCCTGGTAGAGCGGCCAGATCAGGGCTGTGGTCTGAGCTGCCAGCACAGGCCTGCATGGACACCCAACTGGGGAGCCACTGAGCCTAGCAGGCAGTGTCCTGTACCCAGGGCCAGTTCAGACCCCTCATTGGATCTAATATTTCTCACAGGTGACACTGCCATCTCCTTGCTGAACTGTGCCCTGATGGTGGTTATCTTTAAAATTTCCTTGAATTCTGCTGGACAGAGTGGCACATGTCTATAATACCAGCAGTTTGGGGGGCTGAGACAGGAGGGTCATGAGTTCAAAACCAGCCTCAGCAACTTAGTGAGGCCCAAAGCAACTCAGTGAGACTGTCTCTAAATTTTATATACATACATAGAGAGTTCAGGGTTGTGGCCAGGGGTTAAGCACCCCTGGGTTCAACCCCCCAAATCCTTAAATTCTCATCTCATTTTGTGTTTTATAGCACTGTCTTCTAATTCATTTTGAAAAATCTAGCTCGAGCTGAAGAGTTCAAGGCAGCTGGCAAGACTGGGGGTTCTGTGAAACCAGGGGGTCTCAGGTTGCAGAGCTATCCTAAAAGTGACCAAGTTTTCACCCACTGCCTCACCGGTGGGAGAAACCCAGTAACCAAGACAGGACTTTCTTCCCTGGAGGGAGCAGGCTGCTGGGCCAGGGCTGGGTTCTGGGAACACCTTCTCCAGGATGAGGCTGGGTGAGACCTGTGCTCTGCTTTGCAGCCTCACCTGCCACGTGCAGTGTGACCACGGCTTCCAAGATCCTTCCTAGCTCTAAGGATTTCCTAAACACCAGGCAGTTGAACTTCTGCTCGTCCTGGGGGGTGACATTGCGCAGGTGCAGGGAGAAGTCCCCCTGCTGCATGCTGTCCAGTGACAGGTGTGCCCTGTTCTTGTAGTGGCTGTCCTCGAGGCCTGTGGAGCTGTTCCCGGGGAGGTAGTAGGTCACCACTGCGTTTGACTCGCTGACTTGCCAGTAGACAAACAGGTCGTCTAGGTCGAAACGATCTGTTCCCGGGTAGACGCAGCTGAGTTTGACGTCACTGCCCACCATGGCCCTGACTTCCTCTGCTTGAATAACTGCAAGAGTCCAAAGATGAGATGGATATTCTGAGGGTGACTCCCAGCCCATGGAGTCACCCAGACTTCTGGGTTACAAGGCTCAGACACTGATCCTGACACATTTAAGCAGAAAAGGAATGTGTTGACAAGATCCACCCAGGAGGCAGCTCAGATGCTGGATGGTGAGCCACCTGGCTCTGTTGTCCAAGGCCAATACCTGGCTCTGACAGGGCACAGCTGGCATGCAAGGCCACCGCTGGGAGAAGCCAGGGAGGGTGCCTGGGCTGCTCTGCACTATTTTTAAAATCTGGCATGCAAAAGAGAACAATTTCTGGACATTATAAAGTCATTGTGCTCATGAGAAAAGTTCACTCGACATACAGAGGTACTTCCATTTGCACAATCACTTAACTGCCTGGCTTAGACTGGAAGGCTTGGTGGGGCCTCGGGTCTCTGCTGCAGGGCCACATCATTGCTTCTGGCTCTTTTCAAACCTCAGTAAGGCTGACTGGGACAGAGAGCCTGGGGGGACAAGAAGTCCCTGACTCAAAGGAACTACATTCTACCTACCCTGAGCATGAAATCAAAGAACTATGGCCTTTGGAAACGCAGTGTCCTCTATGGCCTTCTGTCCTGCACACCAGCCTAGGTGTGAGGCCCAGAGGACCCTGGCAGGAGGTGGTGAGGACCTCCTGAGGCCCTGGGTGTGAGGCTCTCACAGCTCTGCATGAAGTCTGGAGGCTGGGTAAGGTTTGGCTGGGTAAAGCACCCTGCATTAAGCACTGACTCACCAGCTTGCAGGCCACTGAGGAGGAGCAACAGCAGGCCAGGACTGGAACAGAAACAAGGGAAGGCAGGTGAGCTGCAGGTCTCCGCTTCTCCTTCCCAGGAGCAGGGGTCCACCCACAGGAGGACACAGAAATGCGAATTCGCCGTCTGGAGAGGTCCTGGGCTTCCCTGCACGGGGAGCTCAGGGAGAGAGGCCTGGACCACACCTCCCGCCCCGCAGAGCAAGACCTCAGGGCTTCCAGCCCAGACCTCCCAGACCACCATGACAGTGAGTAAAGAAGGCTTGGGAGCCGCCGCAGGTCCAGGCTTCTGCCTCCGCCGCGGCCTTGCTGGGAACCACAAGGAACCGCCGAGGCCGTGCGCAGTGCTGCCGTCCCGGCTCCCACCGCCCCCTGCTGCGCGGCCCGCAGCACCCCTTCCCTGGTTTGGAACTCTTAACGCGGAGGGGGGATCCCAGGTGTGTGGGGAGAGGCCGAGTCACTAAACAGTGGGCACTTGCTGGCCTCCGAGGTGGCACAGGGTGTCACATCCTCCCTCCTTCTGGGAAATCAGCGGAGCAGCGGAGAAGGGCGGCTCGCGGTGCCCGCGCCGGGGTGCGCCTCCCGCTCGGCGCGCCGCCTACTGGGTCCCTGCCTCCGCACGGCCGCCTGGCTCGCCCACGCCCCGCCCGCGCGCCGGTGCCCGCCGGCCCAAGCCGCCCCCTGCCGTCCACACCGCTGGTACCCGCGCTTCCCTCGGGGGCCTGCAGGTGAGCCCGCCAGCCCCGCGGGAGCCGCCCGGAGCTGGGGACGCGCGGGACCGCTGCCTTCGGGGCGCTGTCGGCCCCACTTCGGGCGGGGACACCGCGCCCTGCCGCGCTCCCTTCCCTGCACCGCAGGGCGCGGCCGTAGGCGGGCTCACCTCAGCCGCATGGTGGGCGCCGAGACCTGGGGCCGCGGAGACCGGCTCTAACTGCGTTCCCAGTTCCCAGGGCGCCGCGGAGGCTCTGAGCGCCAGCGCGCGGCCGCCTGGGTGCAGCCCTGGTCCCCGCCCCCGGCCCGGCCCTCCCGGACCGTGACCGCCCCCGGGAGGAGGCGGGGCGCGGCGGAGAGGAAGGTCGCCCTCTGGCTCCTGAAAGTTCATCTCTACCCAGGCCCGCGTTCCAGTCGGCCCGGTGCTGGCCAGGGCCAGGTCCTCCAGGTCACGGGGACACGGGCCAGGGCTGTAGGTGCCCGGGGAAGTCCCTGGAGGGTCGCCGGGGACAGAGCGGTTGGGCCATGGGACACTGAGCTTTCCCCAACGCTGCCCAGACTGGTCCCCATCCCCGGCCCAGTGTCCTAGCCCCACCTTCCCTGAGGGTGAGTTATGAGAAGCCCCAGATCTGAGCCAGGGGCCAAAAGTAGGCTTCTCCAGGTGGACAGTAGGTGAACCACACCCGATGACTGTTTAGGACTGGACCAAAGGCAGGGAGGGCAGGCCTGAACTGACACCCCCTGCACACCCAGTTTGTTCCCCTAACCTTTGTGGGGTCTGATGGGCCCCCTGGTACAGCATCTTTGCATATGAGAGGCTCTGAGAAGCCCACTGCTTGGACCTGGGTAGACTTTGCTCTCCGGGGTTGGCCAGTGTTGTCTGGCACCTGGTCTGTGGAAGACTGTGCTGAGCTCTGGGCTGTGGTGGAGGCCCACTTGCTCCCTGCCCCCCACAACACGCAGTGCTGGGCCCTCCTCTCTGCTGACTCAGTGCTCCTTGCTCCTTCCCCAGGCCAGGTACAGAGGTACTGCCAGCCTGGTGAGGAGGTGGGTCAGGAGGGGACAGGGTTCCCTCCCTGTAGGTGGCAGGTCTGCAGGTCCTGATCTCCTGGGAGCAGCCGAGGGTTGTAGCCTCTCTATTCAGTTCTGCCTCACCCCAGGCCTGCTGCCCGGGCTGATGGTGGAGCAGGGACAGCCTTTGTGAAGGCAGAAAGCTGGGAGCCTGTCCCTGTGCCACTGGGCAAGGGGAGCTCCCGGAGCCCAGTCCCCATGCAGATTTCATTCATTCAACGAAGACCTGATGAGCACCCAGCACTGGCTAGGTTCTCAGAGAGCACGCGGTGAAGAAGGCTCTAGTCTCTGCCAGCTGGACGCGGACGTCCCCATGCGGCTGTGGGACAACCAAGTGAAGACAGCCAAAAGGTGAGTGCCGGTGGTGACAGAAGTTCCCGAGGAAAAGAGCGGGACAGTGAGCATGTGGTCCCCGAGTCCCCAGAGTCGGGAGTGGAGTGGGCATTCAGAGGCACTTCTTCAGGGAGGGGCCATCTTCCCTTTGGGCAGGAAGCACAGGGACCAGAGGACCCCTCCCATATTCAAGGGTCCAATGAAGGGGTCTGCTCTTGGGGTGGGGATGGGGGCCAGAGAAGTGTCCTGAAGGAAAGGTGAATGTTGTCCCTGGACAGCAGGGTGCCCGCACAAACCAGATCGCGTGCCTCGGGATGGGTCCAGCTCCAGGAGCCAGGAACTGTGTCCAGTGTGGGCTGGAACCCACGTGGCCAGGGCCTCTTCAGGGGCACACGTTCATACACCCAGCATAGAGAGGGACATGATGTTGGTGGCCTCAGTCCCCTCCCCCGCCCCAGCTTGGCTCCAGCTGGCAGAAGACTGGGTTTGGGGAGAACCAGCCCAGCATCACTGGCCAGGTGAGCAGAGCGGTCAGTCGGGCTGGGCAGCTGGCACCACCCATGCCTTCTCCTGCCAGGTCAGACTGCTGCCACTCCCCTCCCCTTGGTTAGGTGAGTCCCTGAGGCCCACACAGGGCTGTCTCTGATTGGGCCAGCCTGGGCTGGGTGCCCACCTCTGGGCCTATCACTGAGACCCAGGGGCCTGCACTGTACTGATTGGCTGATGCCTGGGTTGGGGCAACGCCCCTTCTAGCACTACCCAGATCCCCCTCCACCCTGCAGCTCTCTAAGCCAGGCCTGGGCGCTGTGCTGCCTCACGGCAATGGGGCAGTGGTAGAAGATGCTCGGGTGGCACAAGCATGGCTGGCAAGGGGGTAGGGGCTCGGGCTCACAGAGGTCTCAAAAACCACTTACTGCTGCTGGACCCACTGAACAGCAGAGACTCTGGATGGAGGGGCCTATTGTTCCTTGGGCACAGTAGGGAAGTGACACAGAATGCAGCTGGACTAGAGGGGGCACCATTGGGCAGCACCCGGGCAGCTGTGGGGGAGGGGAACCAAGACCAGAGATGGTAAGCTCACGACGGGTTGAAATCCCAGCCTTGGAACTGTGCATCACCAGGCAAGTTAGTCAGCCCCTCTGTGCCTGTGCTTCCCATCTGTGAAGTGCAGCTAATCACACCCTCGTGGCTCAGTGACCAGGTAATGCATGCGAGTACAGTTGTGCGACTGTCCTAAATTAATGCACACCCTATAGGCAAAGGGTTCCAAATAGGACTCTGAGATGAAGGAGAAATAGGAAACCCTTTGGGAGGCTTCCTTCCTGTGGCTGTGGCTCCCTCGACCAGGACTGCAGGCGGGCAGGGAAGCTTGGTGCTGGGGTGGGACAGGCCCAGGCCATCAGGACTGGGAACCAGAGGAACTGCATCCCTGCAGCCTGGATTTGAGGTTCCCGGGCAAGATATGGAATCGTCTGGATGCCCCAACCTGCCCCCTGAACCCCAGCTGCACCCAGGGAGCAGCAGGGCTCTGGGCCCCAAGTCCCACTGATGGGAGGCCTGCAGCAACCTAATTTCAGGTCTTTCCCCCACACGGGAAGCACAGTCCCCTGAGAGTCACAGCACAGTGTGCCTCTGACATCCCAGATGACACTCGGAACCTGATTCCGGGCTGGGGAAGCCCATCTTTTCTCTTGGGGGTCTGCTCATTTCCTGAGTCTGCTGCAAGGAGTCACCGCAGACTTGGGGGCTTAAAAACAGCAGGGGCGTCGTTTTTCCACAGTCCTGGAGGCCAAAGTCTGAGGTCACTGCTTCACCTGGAGGCTGAAGGGAGACGCCTCCCTGCCTCACCCCCTGGGGTGCCCCTTAGCTGAGCTGCAGCTCTGGAGTCTCTCTGCCTCTCTGGTCAACGGCCGTCCCCTCTGCATGTGGTCAAGACTGCCTCTGCCCCACTCAGATTGCAAATGGGCCCACCTGGGTAACCCAGGAGGCACGTCGACTCAGGCAGTGGGGTCCTTCCCTGCCGTGCGAGGTAACACCCACAGCTCCGGGAGTCGGTCACGGGCATCTTTCGGGGGGTGATTTACAGCCGACTCCAGGGATCGTGAATGGGGCCTTGGGGGAGGGTTAAAGTACACAGGAGGATCTCCAGGTGGGGACGATTCTGTGTGCACGTTTGAGAATGCGGAGAGGTCGAGGAGCGTGTCTGGAGACCTGAAGCCTGGCTCTCCTCCTTGCTCTAAAGCAGGTGGAGAGCAGGCCCTGGTTTTCTCTCTGCCCATGCCACCAGTTACCTGGGTGGACGCGGCCGGGCCGCTACCAGCCCTACGCAGTGCTGTCATCCCCCACTGGGCAGCTGTGGTCACAGGCTCGTGTGCACAGCTCAGCCAGCTCTCGGGGTCATTGTGGGCTGCAGAGCCTAGGCTACCAGGAGGGGTCTGTCTGCCCCTGGCTGAGCCCAGCTCTGCTCTCCTGCGGTGTCTCCGGCCCTCTAGCCTGGTTCCATCGCCGCCCTCCCGAGTCAGCCCTGGACACGATACCAGTGTTGTCCATGTGCAGGGCTGTCCTCCTGGACGGAGAAAGTGCCCTGTTACACTGATCCAAGGGTGACCTCACTCTACTTCAAGTTGTTTGTAAGGATCTTCAACAGGTCCAGTTTGAACCCCCCTTTCTTCCTCAAAGCATTGTACAGACCACTGAAAGCGTCCCCAAGACCCAGTTGTGGTGCCCAGGACTCTGTTTAGTTGCTGTGTCTGGACTCAGGGGATGGGATGGTTCTAGCTACCTGGGAAACAGTCCTGTGAGATTCATCAGTCGTGTGAGGCTGGGTCCAATCGATGCCCTCTGTTGGGTTAAACTCCTCTGGGATGGGCACTGCCCAGGGCCCTGGGGAATCCTGCTTCAGCAAGCAATGCCATCTGGGTTAGGAGCCCCAAGGTCACATACTTTGCAGGTAGATCTGGTGTGGGCCCGAGCACCCTTGGCTCCACTGGCTCTGGCTTTTCTACCAACTGGGAATGTTCTATGCTGGGGCGCTCGGGGCAGCCTGATAGGTGAGTGATTTCAACCATCAAACCAACGAAAATCCCATCTACAGGTGTGCACAGGGTGGGCACCTGGTACCCAGGGGGCTTTGCTTACACACAGAACACCAAAATATGACCAGCAGTCCTCCAGTGACACATCTATTGAACTTCTCAGTGGGAACACTGTGCTCTCGGGTGCCCGGTCACATCAGGATCCCGTCCACCACACAGGGCACCTGGCTCCTCTCCCCAAACCCAGAAACGGAGCCCAGGAGAGCCTGCGACTCGAACCAAACAGGAGGTGGGTCTGGAGCATCGCGGGACATCCAGAGCCAAGCAAGTGAGAGTGATTGGGGGAGAACACAGGTAGAAGAGGGGGTTCTAGGAGAGCCCTTCGTCGTTGTATAATGGCTCATTTATAAAGAGGAAGTGCGTTCTGAGAGAAATACTTGAAATATTCTCGTAGGGGAAGAAAGCAGTTCTTCACGAGCGCAGATGGGCCCTGGGCAGGCAGCGTCCCTCGCTGTCCATCTTGAGCCAGCAGCAGGAGCTCCTCTTCAGAGGCCGAGTGCCTGCTGCCAGGGAGAGGGGCACAGTTACAGACCAGCACCTGCTCCCTGGGCGGGGCTCTCAGCTCTCCCCAGGACTCATGCCCTGGACTCATGCCCTGGGGGCCCGCCAGCTTCTGTGAGGAGCTGGTCACAGGCCAGGCAGGGTCCCTTTAGTCCAGCCGGTGGATCTCCTCTCAGTGTGAAGAGGGAGGAGAGACTGGGAGCCACCAGAGCAGATGCTGGCCATCCTGGGAGGAAAGGGCAGGACCCAGGGGCAAAGGTTCATCAGAGCTGGGTGTCCCAACTGTCCCAGGGATCCTGACAGCAAAGACCTGCCGACACTCAGGTCATCCTGTGATGCGCGGGGGCAACTGTGTGGCGCAGCCCGAGGGGCCAGTCCTGGGACATGGGGGGGGGCAGGGAACAGGGCCCAGGCCACCGTGGAGATGGCAGCAGTTTCCAGTTTGCCTTGGGGTTAGTGAAGGCACAGAGGAAGGGCTGCCCCTCAGTGTGCCCTCACTCTCCCTGCTTCTCTCCTTGGGGACTGTCTGGCTGTCCCAGGATGACAAGGCCATTGGGAGCAGAGGTTGCTTGGACAGCTGTTCTTGGTTCCTCAGGAGCCAACCCCAGGAACAGCGTCCAGCAGCTCCCAGCCCTCAATGGCCCCTGCGGGCTTGGATCCGACAGTGAAGGCCAGACCCAGAGGGGCCCGTGGTGCCTGGCTCAGGAAGGGGCCAGGCTGGGCCCAGGACGGAGGGAGCTGTGTGTCCACGGCAAAGCCTGGCAGGCGCCTCTGGACACCTTGGGAAGGGGGCCAAATGCCGCAGGTTGTGGGCCAGGGTCAGGAGCACCTGCTGCAGGTTACTTCTGTTTTGTTGCGGGCTGGTTTTCCGTTTGGGTCGTCCTGCCTGTCCGTTTGGTAGTGGGAGGGATTGAACCAGGCCTCATGCTGGGAAAGAGCTGGGCCACATCCCCAGACCTTTCTACTTTCAATTCTGAGACAGTGTCTTGCTCAGTTGCCCAGGCTGACCTGGAACTCGCAATCCTCCTGTCTCAGCCTGACTTCCGAGTCACTGGGGCTACGGGCGTGTGCCACCAGGCCTGGCCACGTGTGACTTCTCAGGTGTCATTCCTACCCCACTGCTGCTCCCTGGGTGAGCGGCTGGCGAGGAGTGCAGCCTGGCTCCCCCTGCAGGCCATTCTGGGCCCCGAGCGACGCCCGTGCCCTGCTGCTGGACTTGGACCCACAAAGTCACACAACCACCAGGGAGGGACCTGCTTGGCCACCACCCGATAATGATGTGGTGTGGTGGACGGCATGCAGGCGGGGCTATAGTCAGCAGGCTCCCAAAGAAAAATTAGTTTGAAAAAAAGTGGCTCACCTCACCTTGGCACAAAGCCAGGGAGGGCCAGGAGGGCGTGGGGTGGGGAGGGGCCACAAGCACCTCCCTTGACAGGCACGGGCCCTGGGGCTGTGCAGTGGCTGGGAGCCAGGAGAATGCTGAGGCTGGAGGGGAGTGGGGAGAAGTTCCCAGAAACTCACTCCTGGGCAGAGGAGACATGACTTAGCAGTCCTAGGAGGTGTGGTCCCATTGGCTGAGCACGTGTGAGCCTGTGTGAGTGTGCAGGTGTGCAGGCCGGTCCACCAGGAGCATGTGTCTGTGAGCCTGTGTGAGTGTGCAGGTGTGCAGGCCGGTCCACCAGGAGCGTGTGTCTGTGAGCCTGTGTGAGTGTGCAGGTGTGCAGGCCGGTCCACCAGGAGCGTGTGTCTGTGAGCCTGTGTGAGTGTGCAGGTGTGCAGGCCGGTCCACCAGGAGTGTGTGTCTGTGAGCCTGTGTGAGTGTGCAGGTGTGCAGGCTGGTCACCAGGAGCATGTGTCTGTGAGCCTGTGTGAGTGTGCAGGTGTGCAGGCCGGTCCACCAGGAGCATGTGTCTGTGAGCCTGTGTGAGTGTGCAGGTGTGCAGGCTGGTCACCAGGAGCATGTGTCTGTGAGCCTGTGTGAGTGTGCAGGTGTGCAGGCTGGTCCACCAGGAGCACGTGTGAGCCTGTGTGAGTGTGCAGGTGTGCAGGCTGGTCACCAGGAGCATGTGTCTGTGAGCCTGTGAGTGTGCAGGTGTGCAGGCTGGTCCACCAGGAGCACGTGTGAGCCTGTGTGAGTGTGCAGGTGTGCAGGCTGGTCACCAGGAGCATGTGTCTGTGAGCCTGTGAGTGTGCAGGTGTGCAGGCTGGTCCACCAGGAGCACGTGTGAGCCTGTGTGAGTGTGCAGGTGTGCAGGCCGGTCCACCAGGAGCATGTGTCTGTGAGCCTGTGTGAGTGTGCAGGTGTGCAGGCCGGTCCACCAGGAGCACGTGTGAGCCTGTGTGAGTGTGCAGGTGTGCAGGCTGGTCACCAGGAGCATGTGTCTGTGAGCCTGTGTGAGTGTGCAGGTGTGCAGGCCGGTCCACCAGGAGCACGTGTGAGCCTGTGTGAGTGTGCAGGTGTGCAGGCTGGTCACCAGGAGCATGTGTCTGTGAGCCTGTGTGAGTGTGCAGGTGTGCAGGCCGGTCCACCAGGAGCACGTGTGAGCCTGTGTGAGTGTGCAGGTGTGCAGGCTGGTCACCAGGAGCATGTGTCTGTGAGCCTGTGAGTGTGCAGGTGTGCAGGCCGGTCCACCAGGAGCACGTGTGAGCCTGTGTGAGTGTGCAGGTGTGCAGGCTGGTCACCAGGAGCATGTGTCTGTGAGCCTGTGTGAGTGTGCAGGTGTGCAGGCTGGTCACCAGGAGCATGTGTCTGTGAGCCTGAGTGTGCAGGTGTGCAGGCCGGTCCACCAGGAGCACGTGTGAGCCTGTGTGAGTGTGCAGGTGTGCAGGCCGGTCCACCAGGAGCATGTGTCTGTGAGCCTGTGTGAGTGTGCAGGTGTGCAGGCTGGTCCTTCAGGAGCACGTCTGAGCCTGTGAGTGTGCAGGTGTGCAGATTAATCCAGGAACGCGTGCCTGTGAGCCTTGTGAGTGTGCAGGTGTGTGTGTCTGAGCATGCACAGGTGACCTGGGGGGTGGTGCAGGGTGCGGGGCTTCAGAATGCGGGGCCACATGGAGCACATTCTCAAGGATGAAGCAAGTGCTCTGCCCAGCATCGGGCTTTGCTCTGGGGCCCGGGCACCACCTTGAGGTCCTGAGGCAAGACCCTGGGAAGTGCTGGGGTAGAGAGAGACTTCAGCCTGCAGAGACCATCCAGCGGCTTGGGCGTGTGAGGTTTGCGGGTGGCCCCAGGCCTGGCTAGACTCAGCCCGACAGCCCCGGGGCTGCTCAGCTTGGCTCTGCTGGTAACCCCACTGACTCCAAGCCCGTGTCCCCCGTGAGCCCTGTGCCGGCTGTGTCCCTCCAGCCTGGAAGCCTCACGGCCCAGGAAGTACCTCTTCACAGCGGGGATGTTGGTCCACACGCGCACGGCATTCTGCAGGGCGCTCCCGCGGACGTCCTGGAGGATCACGGGCTCTGTCTAAGGGACGGAGGGGGCCACCAGTCAGCCTGACAGCCAGTAACCTCCTCCCCGTGGGTCCCAACGGTCTGCAGGTCTAGGCTAGCACGTCTGCCCAGTGCCGCCTCTACCTGACAGACCTTTGTCCTTACAAACTGCCCTCTGAGAAGAGATGCGGGGTCATCGTGTTCTTAACCGGCAGATGTTTGGTCCCACGGGCCAGTGGCCTGCAGTTCCTCAGGGATCAGGAGGCTTTGCTGGCCAACAAGAGCTCCCCAAAGCGTGTCCACCCTCCTGGGGCGGGGGAGCCAAAGAAAGGAGAATCGGAGGCGGAAGGCCCTTCTGGGTGACCTGACTCCACCCGCTAATCCGACAGCTCCCCGGGGGAGCAAGCAGCCCACCAAGGTCACAAGGGTGCACGAGCTGGCCAGAGCCACACTTAGGTTTCTTGCCCTCAGCAGAATGAGGCCCCAGAGCCGGGTGGAGATGGCAGACGACCCAGGACTTTCCTTCCGTGCTACTTTGGAGTTGGGACCAATTAACTCTGAACTACCAACCTGTGTGCCAAACAAGGGAAAGCGGTATTGTTGCGGCCCTCTGTCTGTCCTGACGGGTGCCTGGCTTAGCAACGTGGTGTTTCAGTTGGGCCCATAATTACTGACGGCAGAAATAGGGTTTTGTTTTGTTTTTGTTTTTGTTTTTTGGTAAAACAATGCAAGGTACCAATCTGATCCCGACTGCTGATATGTGACATTATGTTGGTGTTTTTTTAAATGCTCAGATTTCCTAATAAAGAAGAAAGCAAGCAACAGGGTCGTGAGGCCACTTTGCTTAACTCTGTAGAAATCACCTGAAAGTTTAAATGGATCATATTCTAGGAAAACGTAACCTCCCGACACTGACTGCTGAGACAGGAGATCTCCACAGACGGTTCACACAGACCTTGAAGCAGCAGCTGTAGCTGTGTCACAGAACACCATCTGCCTCAGTTATTTTAGGGAGCAGGCCCAACATAGAGACCACAGCCCGCCAGGGGACAAAGGAACCGTTACAACCCCTTTCCCGCTGTGGGTGGAACCGTGACTGGCGTGCCCTCCCACAGTGCAGGCGCTCACCACTAGAAGTCTGCTCTACACTGTGTCCTCTCTGTCACTCTCGAGGACAAGACTCCCCAGGTAACCCACAGACACCCGAGACCACCGTTGATAAAAATGCCCCAACCAGAGAGAATCAGCAGAAACTCCCCTCGGCCTAAAGCACGCTGCGCCTCGGCCTCAGAGCCAGGGTCCCTGCCCTGTGGAGGGCAGGGGGACACGGGGTATCCCCATCACGGCCATGGTCCCCGGGACTGGCAGCTCCATGAGAGAAGAGAAAGAGATCGCAGGTATAAAACCAGGAGGAAAACTGTCACCGTCACTGGTCTGAACACACACACAGCAAGTCTCATTGAATCGAGTGAAAACCCTCAGCCCACATGGGCATCCAGCCACCGGGCAGCGGGGGCCATCAGCACAGAGGCCAGTTCCATGTGTATAGACCAAGCCAGTTGGAGGGCCAAGAGGGAGGTGGCCACCAGGAGAGCAGGCAGGAGACCCCGGGGTACGCTAAGGACTGAGGGAGCGCTCCCACACCATCCCACTGCTGAGGGACCGCTCCACGAGGGTGGTCGGTGACACCTGTGACAGCCACATTCACCCTCTGACCAGAGAGCCCCTCTGGAGTTGGCCACGGACGGCACCTCTGTAAGAGCCAGAGGCAGGAAGTGCCTGGTCACCCACCCACAGGGAGCGGCCACGTGTGCCCACCACCCCAGGGGACCCACGCAGCACAGGGACAAGACGGAGGAGTGCTGCTGCCAGGGAAGGCCACTGGAGCTGGGAGGCCAGGTGCCAGCAGCAGGGCACTGCAGGGGGCTTTTCCTATCACGTTGGACCTTGGACGAGGGCAGGCACCCTGTGGGAGGAGCACCAGGCTGGCCAGGCTGACCCGTGAGGAGGGGTCCATGGGCGGGTCTGGGTGTTAAAAATCCCCACTAAAGCAACACCTTCAACTTGAGTCTGTGCTTCTGCACATCCTCCCCCTGCCCCAGCCGAAGCCCCTGGACAGCAGCAATCCACTGGGCGCCCCTCCCTGCCTGCCTGGCTCACCCTCAAGCCACCCGCGAAACCCCCGGCAGTGGGGGCTGCCTCGCTGCGCCCATGGCTGGCCACACTGTCCCCGCCCCGTCGCATCCCTTCTGGGACCGGGGACATGATGAACTCCTTCCTGGGTAAGGTCAGGTGGCCGCGACTCCACTGCACTTCCCCTGCCAGAGCCATTCCCAGAGCTCCGCCACGACTGGCCGTGTGGGCTCGGCCACAGCCCGCGGGGCTGCTCTGGTGGTGCCAATTCAGACGCGTGGACAGAGGAGCAAGGCCGTGGTGCCCCTGCCTGTGTGGGTGTGTGGGGTGAGCACGAGTGTGAGGTACAGGGGGAGCATGCGTGTGGCATGTAGTATGTGGCATGTGTGAGTCCCGGTGTGTATGTATGTGTGAAATTGTATGTGTGAGTCCTGGTGTGTGTGTTTGTGTGCAGTGTGTGTGTGAGTCCTGCTGTGTGTGCAGTGTGTGTGTGTGTGAGATTCCTGGTGTGTGTGTGTGGTGTGTGTGTCTGTGTGCATGCAGTGTGTATGCAGTGTGTGTGTCCTGGTGTGTGTGCATGCAGTGTGTGTGTGTGTGCAGTGTGTGTGTGTGTGAATCCTGGTGTGTGTGTGCATGCAGTGTGTGTGTGCAGTGTGTGTGAGTCCTGCTGTGTGTGTGTGTGCAATGTGTGTGTGAGTCCTGCTGTGTGTGAATCCTGGTGTGTATGAGAGCAGTGTGTGTGTGAAACCTAGTGTGTGTGTAATGTGTGTGTGAGTCCTGCTGTGTGTGTGCAGTGTCTGTGTGAGTCCTGGTGTGTGTGCAGTGTGTGTGTGCAGTGTCTGTGTGTGTGAGTCCTGGTGTGTGTGCAGTGTGTGTGTGCAGTGTCTGTGTGAGTCCTAGTGTGTGTGCAGTGTGTGTGTGTGTGCAGTGTCTGTGTGAGTCCTGGTGTGTGTGTGTGAGTCCTGCTGTGTGTGTTGTTTTAGTGTGTGTGTATGTGTCCTGGTGTGTGTGTGTGCAGTGTGTGCGTGCAGTGTGTGTGTGTGTGAGTTCTTGTGTGTGTGTGTGAGTCCTGGTGTGTGTGTGTGAGTCCTGGTGTGCGTGTGCAGTGTGTGTGTGTGCAGTGTGTGTGTGAGTCCTGCTGTGTGTGTGTGCAGTGTGTGTGTGTGAGTCCTGGTGTGTGTGTGCAGTGTGTGTGTGTAATGTGTGTGTGTGAGTCCTGCTGTGTGTGTTGTTTTAGTGTGTGTGTGTGAGAGAGTCCTGGTGTGTGTGTGTGTAGGTACGAGTGTGTCCCATGTGCTCGCTGGGAGGCAGGGCAGGAGGTGGCACCCCCGGGGGCACGTGCGGAGAGCGCGGTGGTGGCGTGGGGTGGGTGTCCAGCTCCTGTCTGTGCCTCTGTGCGTGGCCCTCAGAGGAGGCCAGGCCGGGAGCTGGGTGGACGTGAGCCCCTGGAAGGCCGGGCACGTACCTCCAGGAAGCGAGCGGCTATGGCCTGCTCATCCCCAGTCAGCAGCAGGTTGTCCACAAACATCCAGAAGAAGGCCTGCGGGCTGCCCGCCCGGGGCCGCGCGTACTGCAGGAGGCGGTGGAACTGGAACAGGTACCACCCTGCGGGGGGCGGTTTGGCTGTGAGTGGGCGAGGGCTGAGGGCCTGGGTGTCCCCACCCCTTAGACTTCTGTCCCCCTCCCAGGAGCAGCACCTGACCAGGGCAGCAGAGGCTCACAGGTCCCGACCTTATCCAGAGAGGCCAAGGTTCAGCAAGGACAGGGACAGGGGCCCACACTGACCACTGACCCTGCCTTCCGCCTCGGACTCCAGAGCCTGCATGACCTGAGGCCACCCGGTGGGCTGGAGGGCCTAGAGTGGGGCACGAGGCGGCCTTCGGGGCGACGGTACCCGCTCTCTTGTCATGGCAGTGTTCACAGGTGACCCACTGTGCATGCTATGGGACGTGCTATGGGACCTGCCCTGCGTCAGTGACCGCCCTCCACTGTTTAAACACACAGTTCACAGTTCCCACCCTCCCTGAGGCGCTGCAGTGGGTGGGAGAGAGGAGAGGTGACAGGGCTGGGGACAGACGCCCTGGTGAGTGGAGCAGACCCAGCCCTTTTCTTGAGGGCATCTTACCAGGAGAATGGTCACAGGCGTGGCCCAGGGCGGGCGTCGAGCCGTACACGAGGTCGAAGGGGCCCCATTCCTCCACCTACAGGACACGGGCAGGACACGGGCTCGCTGGAGAATGTCCTTATTTAGTGGGACGGTTGTCACTGCCAGCCCAGCGCTCAGCCCTGGTGATGAGTCAGCCCTGGGGCCGAGATGCCTGTCCAATAGGATGTGGTGAACCCTCCCAGGATCCCTGGGGCAGAGGAGCCCCCAGAACTGAGTCATCAGTAGCCACCATGCCCTCTGGGGCACGCCCAGCACATGGGCCATCTGAGAATGGCCACTGCTCCTGGGTGGAACCTTGGGCCCCTGGGACCATGGACTCCCCGCCACGGGTGGGTGGGTGTGCTGCCTGGGAAGCGGCCAGTCCACACAACCCCAGCACCCCGACAGTCAAGCCAGCCACATTCCTGCCCCCTCGGGGACAAAGGAGCTCTTCAACACCCACAGCCCAAGGCGTCTCGGCACCCAGAGGGCCACCCACGGTCAGCGGCAACCCCCGGGTCATTCTCCTAGAAGTTCAAGAGACACCAGATATTGGACCCCACTTTCTGATAGCCCAATCCAGAGTGGACCCTGAGCTGGGGTTCAGCTCGGCCGTGAAGCGTTTGGGGCAATAGGTGGGGTTCAATCCTGGCACCCCCTAGCAAACAGGAAGACGCTCTTGGCAGCTCTGGGCAGCGGGGAGACCTGAGCCCGCCCTCCTGCTCCTCCTGCCTCCGTCCTGGGCCCCACCTGGTGGCCGGGGTGCCAACAGGAGGGCAGGGAGGCGGGACAGCTGGGTCTGCGACGGCACCCAGCTCTGTGGCAGGAGGCTGCGCCCTCCTTTAACGACCGCCCAGCAGGACGGGGTGGAAGGGGACCCAGCTCTGGGGAGCAGCCGCCAGCCAGCGCAGAGTGGGCTCACCCCGGAGAGAAGCCCCTGCCTGGACGCCCAGGTCCCACCGCCCACGGGGGCGGCTGTCGGGTCCCAGACCCTGCCTCTTTATTTTAGAGGGTGGAGTGGGGGTCAGGCCCTTGGCTGGGCAGCACCCCATCATGGGGCAGAAATGGGCCACTGGATCTCAGCATGTCTGGCCGGCTGCCCGGCTCTGTGCTGAGGGCAGTGCAGGCCCACGGAGCCAGGGAGCACGTTCACTGGGCCCGGAGCCCTCGCTGGCCTGGAGGCCCCAGAGTGGCATCCAGGAGGCTCCCCGGACCCTGGCCTTCCCCACCCCCTACCTGGCCCTGCTGTCCCTGGCCTCAGTCCCCTGTCCTCCCTGAGCCGGGGTCTGGGAGCGCAGGGCCTACTCACATCTCTGCGCACAATGTCGGTGACGTCCTCCAGGTGCCTCAGTCTTCCCGCCTCGGAGCCAGGTTCCAGAAACCCCAGACTGGTTAGCTCTGGAGTGGGACAGACAGGGGCACAGAGGAGCTGCAGGGAGCCGAGTGGGCCAAGGTCCCACCCAGGATGTTCCTCTCAGCCCAGCCACGTTGGCTCCATCGGCGGGCACCAGAAGAGGAGGGATCTCTCCCGTCTGGTGACCGCAGAAAACAAGCAGACCTCAGAGTACTGAGTTCAAGGCCAAGCAGTCCGCCGCAAAACCAGGCACTTCTGCCACGCTGTCACTTCCTGGGCAGCGGTGTCCACACGACACCACTAGGCCAGCCAGTCACCCTGGGAGCAGGCCCAGCTCCCGCGGCCCCACCAACCGCGAGAGCCTGGGCCAGCTAAGCCATGCTGGTCTGTCTCAGGTGCCGGTCCCCAAGGTCAGTGACAGGATCACAGCCAGGGCACAGGCCCCCACGGCATCTGTGCCACTCTTATCCTAGGGCACCCACCCACCACGACCCATCTCTGGGGCTCTCCCGCACCTGCCAGGTGGGACTTCCAAGGGCACCCGCTGGGGGGTTGGCAGAGCTGCAGCCAGAGGGGCACGCCCTGACGAGGGCGGGTGGGAGGGCTAGGAGGAGAGCCAGGGAGGGTCCCACGAGGCTGGCCGGCGGGGCCTCTGGGTGGCAGGCTGGCCGTCTGCGGCTGGGCGCACTGTTCATCACAGCACTTCGCATCCGTCATGCTCTGCCAGCCGCCTCTGTCCCCGCACCCTCCCTCCCCACGGCCTCCACCTCCTCCTGGGTGGGCACCCTACCTGGCCCTGCTGTCCCTGGCCTCCTGACCACTGTCTGGCCTCCCACCTGGCTTCTTGACTGCTGTCCTCACGGGAGGCCTCCCCTTCCTTTGCTCTGTGTCCAGGAATGGGCGCTCGGCTGGTCACGCCACCTCCCCCACCTCCCCCACCTCCCCCCACTTCTGCAGGTCGGGGCACTCACCTTTCCTGATGTCCCCAAAGAGGGACAGCACCCGCACTGGCTCCCTTTTCCAGGCTGGCACGGTTTTATAGATCTCCTGGGGACTCGCCTGGTAGAAAGGCCGTCATTAAACCCCTGGTCCCAGAGCCTCGAGCCACAGGCTCCCGGGTGGAGGAGCCCCCTGAGACACACCTGCCAGGCAGAGGCTGGCCCCAGGAAGGCCTCCACTGCTGCAGGCCTGGTCCTGCCCCCTCCGTGGGGGAGGCAGGCCTGCAGGGCTGTCCCTACCTCAGAGGAGGGAGCTGGGATCCCAGCAGAGACTGCTCTGACTCTTAGGTTCCAAGACCCGGGAGAGTGCACAGCAGTGGGGACCCCGGGCCAGAAAGCCCTTGGAGGGCTGGGAAGTCTGACAGCTGCCCGAGGTGAGGGGTTCCCCAGGCCCAGCCCTGCTGCCTGTGATCTGTGGAGCTGAGAACTGGCACCCTGAGTCCAGACGCAGAAGAGCCATGCTGGGGACCCAGGACACAGACGTCTCTAACCTCTGTGTGTGGTATGTGGGGCACAAGACTTGCCCTCCCCTTCCAGGATGCCGGCCAGAGACGGGCAGGGCCAGTGGGGACACCCGGCCAAGGTCAAATGCAGGACTATCAGGGACAGGATGGAGCAGGGACCAGGGGCTCGTGTTGGGACATCCAGGAATGTGGACGTCCAATCAGGCGGGAAGTAGGCAGTGAGGGTCTGGGCTGCCCTTGGAGGAGGAGGGGAAGGCCTGGGGACCTGCCCCCTCTGCCCAGGGTTGACCCCAGGAGCCACCTCCGCCTTTCCCTGGCTCCATGCCCTAGGTGGCATTTCATCACATTTCTGAAGGTCACTTCATTTGTGTGTGTGTGTGAAATCCCTCCTGCAGCCTTTCAGCCCAGGGGTCTCCATCATAGGGACAGGAAAGCTTTCTGCTCTCAAGGTACCAAAGGGGGGCTCCATAAGGCACACGCTGGCCTTGCTTTCTGAAAAGCACGTAAGACACCTGCTCACCACTACGAGCAAGGCACACCTGCAGCCACATGGCGTCTGTGAGACTGGAACACGTGTGCCACCGATGTGCATGTGTGTGGGCACGGCATAGGGCAGCTGGCACCTGCAGAGCCTGGTCTCAGCTGGACAGCTTCAAGACCCTAGCAGAAAAGAGCCCCAAGGCCAGAGTGGCCCCTGAGAGGAGGACCCCCAGGGGAGGCAAGGCCACCCCGAATCAGTGCCCATCCCTCCTGGCCTGTGGCACCCCAGCCCACCAGCGAGCCCGAGGCTGGGCAGGGAGATGGCGGCGCCAGCCTGAGGCTGCTCCCAGGAGCCCCTGCTCCCTGTCTCTTCCATAGGATGCGCCTGGCGGGCAAGCAAAGGCGCCTCAACCCCGAGGAGCAGGAATGAGGACCCGAGGTCGGTCGAGCAGCTGGGCGGCACCCCGCTCTCTGCTGGCTCCCCGCGAGACTTTCACCCCTTCCAGGGAAGCTCCTGGGGGCCAGCAACAAACCAGGACAGACTGCAGGAACACAGCTCAGCAGGGAGTCCTGCTCAAGGTCCCAGCGGGGCTGGCTCCCCCTGGAGGCTGGAGGGAGGGGGCACCGTAGCCCCCCGGCCCCCACCTCTGCTCAGGAGGCTGCAGTGGCCCTGGGCACACCTGGGCCCACGGACACGGGCACCCGCCTCTGCCTCTGTCCTCACGGGGCCTCTTCCTGTCTCTTCACCTCTGGAATCTCCCTCCCCTTTAAGACATCATCAGTCTTTGCGTTTGGGGCCTCCTTGAATCCACAAGGGTCTCATCCTCAGATCCTTCCCCGGATGTCATGTGCAGAGACCCTATTTCTGAATAAGGCTGCGTTCAAGGCACCCAGTTTAGGACTTTGAGGACATAAGGCTGCACCTTCCATGAGCCCACGGTCCTGCCTGCTTGGTATCTCTGGCCTCAACTGTGGGAAGTGCTGCGTCTGGCTCGCTGTCCTGGTTGGACCAGAGCCCACGTTGGCCCAGAGCTGGCAGCCACTGTAGGGCTCAGAGACTGCAGAGGGCTGCCAGTGGGCTCCCTGGGTCCCTCCTTCGTGACTGTTGATGAGCGAGGCTCATCCTTGCTTGTAAGAAACAAAATCACCATGCTTCGCTGATTCTGAAGAAAAGGCCCGTCTGGTGGCACAAAGCCTGAGCCCTGTCCCTGTGCCTGTCCCTGTCCGAACCGATGGGCACAGTGGAGCCAGTGGAAGCCACAGCGGCCTGCTCCTTACCGCCTCGCGATCCTGGAAGGCCTTCAGCCGCTCACGCCACTTCCTCCTGCGCTGCAGCAGCCCACTCCGTGAGAAGGGCAGGCACAGGGAGCACACCCAGCTGCTCCTGGCGAGGATTCTGCCCGCAGTCCCCGGGCCCACCAGGGTGTCCACACACTCCAGACAGTAGCACCTACAGAAAGCAGAGAACCACGGTGGCCTTGGAGGGATCTCCCTCCACTCATCTGAGAAAACAAACGGCCCTGCCCTTCTGTGCTGCGTGTGTGTGTGGGGGGGTGAGGCCACAGGCTAGAAGGGACCCTGGTCCTCTCGGGGACTCGGGGACTTGGAGTGATAAAGGACGGCAAGGTCCAGAGACAATGACAGCTATCTGAGGATCCCCTAAGCCGCCTGGCCTCCCCAAACTCTGCAGGAGCAGCCGTCGTCGGAGCAGAACTCAGGGCCAGGCTGTGAAGAGCACCTCGCGGACCCGAGGTGGGGAGCAGTGGATGCAGCCCAGGTCGGCAAGGGCAGGGGCGAGCATGCCCCTGTGTGGCCCTTGTCCTGACCCTCTAGATGGTCAGTGGAGGAACAGCAGTGTCTTGGCTGGGACAGAGGCCTCCAGACACCAGTCCATGTGCCACGGCTGCTCGCCATGGAGGTGTCTGAGAGGGGCATGGAAGGGGGGAAGCCCTGTTTGGGGAGGCCCCATCCCCCCACGGGAATAGTGGAGAAGAACAGGTGCTCGAGGCTCCGCCTGGCCACCCCGGGGCCAGCCTCACCGTGTGCAGTCCGGGTTCTCGCAGATGAGCAGCGTCTCCCCCGAGCCGCAGATGGAGCAGGAGGACTGGTAGCCGTCCTCGTCGTACTGGAACAGGGCCTCCAGGAACCTGGCCTGTCAGGCAGAGGTGGCTGTTGGCATCCCCCTCCTCCCAGAGGTGGGGCCCCTGCTGGACCCCCGCTTACCTTGCACGGGGCACAGATTCCCCCCTCAAACAGGGGGTGCTGCGTGTGCACCTGGAAGCTTCCACAGCAGAGGCAGATGTCTAAAGAGAAACACAGCGAGGACTCGGAGAGGGTTAGAGAAAGACCGGTGGCACCCGGACAGGGGGAGGGACGGCAGGCCCAGGGGAGGGCGACCGTGTTCATGGATGGGACGCCTTAATGTTACAAAGAGGCCAGGTGGGGGCCCGTCTCAAAACCCCAGCTGGCTGTGCTGCAGAGTTTGACACCTGATCCTGAAATGTGTACGGAAATGCAGGAAATCTGCAATAGGCCGATCCACAGGGCAAGAGGTGCCGGGGACAGGGAGCCGGGACAGGTTTTCTTTTGGGGATGATGAAGATGCTCTAAGATTAGGCAGTGGGGAGGCTGCAGGACCCTCCTCTGTCAGCACCCTCGGAACCACTCCACTTTGTGGCTTCATGAGGCGCAGGAGTTGGGCAGATGGGGGAAGCACGCAGCACCCACAGAGCGCCCAGCCTTCTTCCGGAGGCCCCAGAGGCCGAAGCCGCCTTTCCCCATCCTCCCTGTGGCTGCGGCAGGCGGTGGGGAGCTCACCTTCTATGTTTCGCTGGTTCACGGTGACTTCATAGGCAATGAGATCTGCAAAGAAGGCAAGAGTGGCCCCTCCCTCCTCCTCTCTCCTATGGGGATACCGCCACAAAGGAATGCCACTAACGTGTCTCCTGAAGTCACAGGGGCCGGGGACCTCACCCGCCCTTCCCTGCCTTACTGTGGCCACCTCACCCCCCTCCCCTGCCTTACTGTGGCCGGGCCCACCCAGCTGGGTGGAGGAAGCACAAGTGGATATTCCAGATGGTCCAGGCCTGGGGGCAGCACCCTACGGGAGGGTCCAGTAGGTGGACGAGCCCTCACCTCTGCCCAGCTGGACTGAAGAGGGGGATGACCGCCCGCTGGAGCCCACCAGGATCACATCCATACTGTGCTCAGCCTCCAGGTCCAGGACTGGGGCCACCAGGGACACAGGACGCCAGGCAGAAGGAGAAAGCCATCAGCTATGAGCCTCTGATGGGAGCCCCAGGGGCCCGGCCCAGCGGTGGGGAGACAGAGCAGCAGCCAGCCACCCCCCACTCCGTGACCCCGACCCATCCAGCCAGCCAGCTGGGTGGCCCCTGGGTGCCCCTCACTGGCCCAGCGGGCCAATTCCTCACAAGGGACCCAGGGACCCAGGCACCAACATCCCCTGCAGCCCCGGGCTGCCTCTGACCCCTCAGGGACCCCATGCTCCTGCCTCCCAGTGCCCCATGCCCCAGCCAGGGGCCCCTGGGACAGTCCTCCCAGCCTGCACCCAGGCCTGATGGCCGCCAGTCTCACAGGGCTGCTGCCACTGCGCCCCGTCCAGGAGTCTGTCTGGGTCCGGGTCAGAGCCCAGGCTGTCTGGAATCAGGGTCCCAGAGGAGGAGAAGGCCATGAGGTCAGGCCACAGCGCCTCCCAGTAAGTGGGGGACTGTCCAGGACCCAGGTCCAGGGGCGGTGGGCAGCTGAGAATAGGTGTGAGGGGCAGGCTTGGGCCTGATGCGGCGGGGTATGGGGAGGGGTGAGGGGCTTCTGCAGGGCACAGAGGACCCCGTGGGGAATTAGGGGGCAGCAGAGATTCCTGGGGGGAGGGGTCTCCAGAGTGGGTGGGATTAAGAGCTCAAGAAGAGCGGCTGGAGAATGGGGATCCCGGCAGGATGGGGGTGATGGTGGGGGCGGGGCGCGGGGGCGGGGCTTGGGCAGCTCAGTGCGTGGGAGGGCTCCAGGGCAGGGTGGGCTGGGGTGGGGGCAGCCGGGGGGTGGAGCTCCCGGAGCAGGGCTCAGAGCTGGGTGGAGGTGGGGGGCTGGGGAGGGGGCGGGAGGGGGTCCGCAGTGGGGGCTGTGGAGTGGGGGTTGGGGAGCTGGAGTGGTGCTGGGGGTGGGTTAAGGTTGGACTGGGGACAGGACAGAGGAGCAAGAGGCGGGGGGCTGGGCGAGTGGAGGGAGGCCTTGGGAGGGGCCTCGATGGGTCCGGGTGGGGGTCAGCCGGGCCAGAGCACCACTTGGTGGTAGCCGCAGGTAACTGAAGTGGCCCTGCAGTGGGGGAAGGTCCCGGCAGCCTAGCGCCCACCTGAGGAGGGCTGAGCCGTGACTCCCGCCCGGTACCCATGGGCGTCACTGTACAGCCAGGCCCTGGCGGCTCCTGGTGGGAAGGCATGTGTGGGAGGTGAGAGGGGTCCCTCCCTGGTGGGCCTCCCCACAGCCCTGTCCCCCACCAGTCCTGAGAAAAACTCAAAAATCCCAGTGAGGGTCCTTTGAAGCCAAGGTCCCTGACACAACGAGTCTGAGCAGCAGCCCCAGCCAGGAGCAGCCACATGGAGACCTGGCAGGTCGTGTGCATCCGGGAGGGGACGTTAGGGGGAACCCAGGAAGTCGACGTGAAATCGTGACCATGACAAAGTGAGTGAAGAGATACTGCTTCCAGAGGGCGTCTCTGACAGTGCCACCCTCAACGGACGTCCCCATCTCCTGGCTGGAATGGGACTGCTGCCCACGGCTGGCCACCTGCAGCTGCCCCAGGCTGGGGTGCCATCAGACCAACTGGAGGCGCCTTGCTGAAGCCCCTAGAATCCTGCCACCACCCATCATGACGTAACCCAACCAGAGCCTACAGGGGGGACCTTCGTGGTACATTTCACAAGCACCGTGTGGGGCTGTTCTATGAAAGGCCAGTTTTATTATTTGAGTTACACCATTCCATAGTCCAATAATCAAAAGTGGGAAAGTAGAGCCCTAGAGATGGTGTTGGATTCCAGCCCGCGAGCCTCTGCGCTGTGGAATAAAGTTAAGTCTCCAACTAGGTGTGGTGGTGCTCACCTGTGATCCCAGCTACTGGGAGGCCAAGGGAAGAGGATGCAAGTTCGAGGCAAGCCTGGGCCCCGTAGAAAGACCTGTCTCCGGCCGGGCCCAGGGGCGCAGGCCTGTAATCCCAGCAGCTCTGGAGCCTGAGGCAGGGGGATGGAGAGTTCAAAGCCAACCTCAGCAAAAGCAAGGCCCTAAGCAACTCAGTGAGACCCTGTCTCTAAATAAAATACAGAATAGGGCTGGGGATGTGGCTCCGTGGTTGAGTGCCCCTGAGTTCAATCCCCAGTACCCCCCCCAAAAAAAATAAAAAATTAAAAGGACTGGGGATCAGTAGAATAAACCGGACAAAACTTTCCTATGTTCATATATGAATACACATCGTATATAGCGAGAATGGGAAGTCATACTCCAGTACGTATGATAAGTCAAAATATGGGCGGGGCTGGGGCTCAGCGGTAGAGCGCTTGCCTAGCACGTGCGAGGCCTTGGGTTCCATCCTCAGCACCACGTGAAAGTAAAATATTGTGTCCATCTGCAACTAGAAAATAAAATATTTATAAAAAATAAGTCAAAATACACTCTAAAGTCAGGCATATCTAGAAAGAACAAGTAAAAATAATTTTAAAAAAAGGACTGAGGGTGCAGCTCAGTGGTACAGCACCCCTGGTTCAATACCCAGCAAAAAACCAAACACACACATAAACTAAGTCTCTTTCTCTATTTCTTTTTCTTTTTAAGCCCTTGAATATTTATCTTTTTTATTGATTTGAAAGTGCTCTTTATGTAGTAAAGACACTAAGACATACAGTTCTGACATCCATGTCACCAATACTTCCTTCAGCTTGTCGACCCTTTAATGTCTTGTGGTGTTTAAATGGACGTATGCCTTGTGTGGTTAAAGACGGTCTGTTGCTGTTTGCTCCCATGGTTTCCACCCTTCCTGTCTCTCCACCCCGAGGTAGTGGGCGCACTCAGCTTTATTTCCTTTTAGCATCTGAGCCTGATTTTCTCTTCCCGTCCTCGAGACCCTTTGTGTGTGTGTGCGGGGCTGTTTGCTGGTGCTGGCAGGATGGTGCCCCGTCTTCTGGGGAGGCTGCTGTGGAAGGCTTCAGCACCTTCTCAGCCTCCAAAGGCAGCGCCTCCCGCCAGGCCCTGGCGAGCTTGGGTCAGAGACCCGTCTCAGCGCCCTTCCTGCTGCGCTTGCCCGCTCTCTGCTGCATCGGGCTATCTGGTGCAGTTTTCCCCAAGAATGTGAGAATCACATGCTAAAGAAAAAAGTGTCCTTGTTGATTTTATTGGAATTGCATTTGCTGTCTAATTCGTTAAGAAATAACCTGTGTTTTGAGAAGCTAAGTCCAGGACTGTGGTACTTCCTTCTTGAGTGCTTGGCCTGGTGAGATGGCATGCACCTGTGGTTCCAGCTCCTCTGGGGGCTGAGGGCAGGAGGGCTTGAGTCCAGGAGTGTAAGACCAGTCTGAGCAACATAGTGCCTTAGACACATCCCAGGGATTCAGGAGGCTGAGACAGGAGGATGCCAAGTTTGAGACCAGCCTCACCAACTTAGTGAGACTCTGATTCAAGATAAAATAAAAGCCAAGCACAGTGGCACACACCTGTAATCCCAGTGGCTTGGGAGGCTGAGGCAGGAGGATCACAAGTTCAAAGCCAGTCTCAACAGTGGCGAGGCACTAAGCAACTCAGTGAGACCCTGTCTCTAAATAAAATTCCAAATAGGGCTGGGGTGTGGCTCAGTGGTCAAGTGTCCCTGAGTTCAATCCCCAGTACCAGAAAGAGAGAGGGGGGAGGGAGAGAGAGGGAGAGGGAGGGAGGGAGAGAGAGAAGGGTTGGGTTGTAGTTAGGTGCCAAAGTCTGCCTGGGTTCAATCCCAGTACTTCAGGAAAAAGAAAAAGAGCCCTGCAGATTTCTTTTTATCTTTATTCCTAGTTATTCTGTTTTGATTGGCATTGTAATATTTTCCTATTATTTTTTCCTTTTTTTAGTATTTATTTTTCGTTTTAGGTGGACACAATATCTTTATTTTTCGTTTATGTGGTGCTGAGTTTCGAACCCAGTGCCTCATGCATGGTAGGCGAGCGCTCTACCACTGAGCCACAACCCCAACCCTTGTTTCCTATTTTTAACCTGAAGTTAGTATACATGTTGTTGAGGTTCACACCCTACTTTGTGTACAGATTAAGGTGCCCGTCACTCAAGAAGAGGCCAGCCTGGCCTCCTCCCTGGCCTCCACCCTGGCCTCCACCCTGGCCTCCTCCCTGCCTGCTCCCTGCCTGCTTCCAGGGGTGTTTTGGTGCTTTCCACCCCAACCCTCAGGACCTCAGGGCCTTCCCTTCCAGCCCTGAAGCAGCCGCTCTTCTTTGTTCTCATGTCTTCATGGGACAAGAGCAGGTGGGACCTCCGGTCCCTTCATGCTGTCACCTCTCCCCCAGGTGAGGAAATGGAGGCTCTCATTGCAGCCCACCCGCTCTGGGGCCTCTCAGAAGACCTGAGGCCCCGTCCCATGGAGGCCCCGTCCCATGGAGGCCCCGGGTGTGTGCCCGCTGTGGTCTGGGTCACCCAGGCCTCCTCCACACGGCCTCGGAGGCTTCCAGTCCTGCCGTTAGGGCTGGCGGAAACCCCCACAGGGGAGTGGAAAGTCCAGAATTCTACACGGGCCGCTGTGCTGACCCCCAACTGGAGGCCAGGTGGCACCTGCCCACTAAAATAGGCTCCAGGCCCGGGCCCGCCGCACCTGCAGGAGGCCAGGGCTTCCCAGAGAGCCAAGGAGACGGGGACCTTGCGGCAGTTTCCATTTCTCCTGTCCGCTCCTCTGGCTGGGGCGTCCTCACCTGGGAGGGAAAGTCCACCAGGCTGAGGGGGTGGCCTTAGGGGTGCTGGTGCTCGGAGGGGGCTGGGCTGAGCACACGGCGTCCCTTGGGTGCCTTCCTGTGTGAGCTCTGGAGCCCGCGGGCCCAGGGATCCCATCGGTGAGCTTCGCTGTGGCCAGACCTGGGCACACGCTCCAGGAAGTGAGCAGAAAGTCCCAGAATGGGCAGGAGTCACAGGCCATGGGGGTCTGAGTGGCCTCAGCTCATGCTTGAACACTTTTGCCCAGTGTGCCCAGAGGAGAGGGCAGGAAAGGCCAGCAGGCAGCGGCCTCCGCCCCGGCTGTGGAGGAGAACCTGGCTCTCGGAGGGGCAGCCCAGGTGGGCCACGGCCAAGCGTCCCCGGGTGTCTGCAGCAGCACAGTGCAGGGCGTCACCCAGCTCCACGGCCACGACCCACAGCACTGGCCTGGGCTCAGAGCCCTGAGGTGGGCGGCAAAGGGCCTGTTCCCAGCCCAGTCTCCGGAAGGTTCTCTGGCTCCAGCCCTCCCTCCCTCCTTCCTTCCCCCTCCTTCCTCCCTCCTCCTCCTCCCTCCTCCTCCCTCCTCCTCCTTCCTCCTCCCTCCCTCCTTCCTTCCTCCTCCTTCCTCACTCCTCCTCCCTCCTCCTCCTTCCTCCTCCCTCCCTCCTCCCTTCCTCACTCCTCCTCACTCCTCCTCCCTCCTCCTTCCTTCCTCCTCCCTCCTTCCTCCCTCCTCCTCCCTCCTCCTCCTTCCTCCTCCCTCCCTCCCTCCTCCCTCCCTCCTCCCTTCCTCCCTCCTCCTCCCTCCTCCTCCTCCCTCCTCCTTCCTCCTCCCTCCCTCCTCCCTTCCTCCCTCCTCCCTTCCTCCCTCCTCCTCCTTCCTCCTCCCTCCCTCCTCCCTTCCTCCCTCCTCCTCCCTCCTCCTCCTTCCCCCTCCTCCCTTCCTCCCTCCTCCTCCTTCCTCCTCCCTCCCTCCTCCCTTCCTCCCTCCTCCTCCCTCCTCCTCCTTCCTCCTCCTCCCTTCCTCCCTCCTCCTCCCTCCTCCCTCCCTCCTCCCTTCCTCCCTCCTCCTCCCTCCTCCCTCCCTCCCCCTCCTCCCTCCTCCTCCTCCCTCCCCCCTCCCTCCTCCCTTCCTCACTCCTCTTCCCTCCTCCTCCTTCCTCCTCCCTCCCTCCTCCCTCCCTCCTCCCTCCTCCTCCTCCCTCCTCCTCCCTCCTCCCTCCCTCCTCCCTTCCTCACTCCTCCTCCCTCCTCCTCCCTCCTCCTCCTCCCTCCTCCTCCCTCCTCCCTCCCTCCTCCCTTCCTCACTCCTCCTCCCTCCTCCTCCCTCCTCCTCCTTCCTCCTCCTCCCTTCCTCCCTCCTCCTCCTTCCTCCTCCCTCCCTCCTCCCTTCCTCCCTCCTCCTCCCTCCTCCTCCTTCCTCCTCCTCCCTTCCTCCCTCCTCCTCCCTCCTCCCTCCCT